CTACATTACAGGTGTTGAGGTGGTGTGAGTCCAAAGCAGAAGGGTGAGCACAAGGACATTTTAATTTGTGGGTGCCCCGTGGAGGCCAGAAGAGAGCACCAGATCCCCTGGAATTGGAGATACAAATAAGCCACCATATAGGTGCTGGGAACCAAACCATGGTCCTCTGCAAGAGCAGCCAGTGCTCTTCACTGATGCGCCATCTCTCCAGGCAATGTATACATTTAACATTTTTGTTTCTTTCATTGGTACATCTCAATAGTAAAATTTTAGACTTTGAAGTTTTTTTGTATCTGTTGGATATAGGTTATTGAAATACAAAGTTACAAACCTATAACAGGAAGATATAAATGCTTAGTGACTTCAGTTGTAAAATGCCTCTGCAAATCTCTTTTAAGTATTTTCATGTTTAAATTATCGGAAAGAAAACACTGAAATTAACAAGAGATTACATAGTAAAAAAAATACCCAAAAGATACCCCATGCTTTCTGTCTGTCCTTTCTTTTACCAGTGCTGCATTTGCTGTATCCTTTAAGCAGCTTCCTTTGGTGTGAAGCTTTTGTGCATACCGAGTAAGGTGGGATTGCCCACGACAGTGTTTCCTTGCATAACTTTGAAGTGATGTTTTTAGGAGCGCCATGTTCAAAAACTGCTAACTGGACTTGCAGTTAGAAACTTGGATTGGGCCTTTCTCATTTTGAACTGTGAAGGAGGTTAACTCTTCTGAAATTTTAATTTTTAATTTTTTTTTTTTTTAAAATTTTTAAGTACTGGGATCAGATCTATTGACTTACACATGCTAGGCAAGCATTTCTCCATATGCCTGGACCACTCCCCCTACCCCGTTTTTTTTTATATATTTTATTTTTTAATTAAGAAAAGAAGAAAAAACATAAACAAAAAACAAGTTTCCACCTCCTCCCAGCCTCCCATTTCCCTCCCCCTCCTCCCACCCTTCTCCCCCAACCCCCCCACTCCTCTCCCCCTCCCCCCACTCCTCTCCCCCTCCCTCTCCAGTCCACAGAGCAGTCCGGGTTCCCTGCCCTGTGGTAAGTCCTAGGTCCTCCCCCCTCCGTCCATATCTAGGAAGTAGAACCTTCATCTGGTGATGGATAGAGATAGAGACAGAGACCCACACATGAGCACTGGACTGAACTCCCAAGGTCCCAATGAGGAGCAGAAGGAGGGAGAACATGAGCAAAGAAGTCGGGACCACGAGGCGTGCACCCACCCACTGAGACAGTGGAGCTGATCTACTGGGAGCTCACCAAGGCCAGCTGGACTGTGACCGAAAAAGCATGGGATAAAACCGGACTCTCTGAACATGGCGAACAATGAGGGCTGATGAGACGCCAAGGACAATGGCACGGGGTTTTGATCCTACTTAATGTGCTGGCTTTGTGGAAACCCTACCCCGTTTTAAGTTTGTGCCAAGGTCTCACAGAGTTCCTTAGATCAGCATTGAACTTTCTTTGCATCCCACACAGATTAATCCTCTTTGCTTGGGAGTCACAAAATAACACATAATCTGTGGTGTAGTAGGTATTTTATATGATTTTAATAATCTTTGAAAGATATTAGTGTATTTTAACATTAGGCTGCTTAAAGAGATGAAAACTGAAATTTTCAAAAGATTTTAAGGATATCTTAAATCTTATTTGGGCTTAATTTACTTCTGAATCTAATTTGACACTAATTTTGCTATAGATTTTTTAAGATATCAAATATATCATTTTAAAAGTGGAGAAAGAGGTATTGGGTCTCAGCAAAATTTTTTAGTTTTGCATAGTTTCAATACATTCTATTTAATAAAAATATGTTTATTTTGAAAGCCAACTGAGATATAGCTTGTTTGTTTTAATATAAAGGTCAAATATTCGGGTTTTATTTTTATATTAGAAGGCTTTAGAAATGTTCATGGATTATCTATTCATCCTTTCTCACTTCATTTACAAAGGAGGCATATCTTTGCAATGTCATGTGTATCTGAACATCAGAAGTACCCAAAGATATTAAAACTTCTTGATTCTATCAATGAATAGTCTACATTAGTTATTTTGAAACACTAAGTGGAAAAAACACTGAAAATAAGTCAATCTTGCATTCACATACATTTTAATAGAATGAAAATATAGTGTATGTATTTTCATTTAAAATTATTATATATACCAACTAAATATTCTCCTATGTTGTTCACACTGTTGAATTATTCTCTACTAGGATGGTTAGCAGGCCTTGGCAACAATTATCCTGACTTGTTGTTGGTATCATGCTACCTCTTCCACCCCTTGACATTTAGCTATCATAGGTAATGATGTGAATATTATTTACTAACTTAATTAAGGCTTATTAAGAACTGGAATATATAATTAAGTTTTCAGGAGAAAAAGCCCCAGTAAATTATTAGTGTTATTGTTCTTCAAAGGAGCAGGATTTCAAATCCCCATCCATTCCTAAAGTAGGTTTGTTACTTACAAAAAATACATTATAATACTTTTAACTGAAAAGGTTAGCAGTTTTATATCACTGCATAAAAATTAATACCCCCTAGTCTACCAAGGAATCCTCTAAGTGTCTCTGACTGGCTGAAGCTGTACTTTGCACAGCATGTTTTATGTTGTCTTAGTTTTGGCTGACAGAGCTGCTTGCCTATTGGCTTAGGGTATATGTTTAGACCCTCTACACATGAACTGATGTTCTAGACAGGAAGTGGAATGCAGGAGATATAGGAATGGGCTGAAGTATCCTTTATATTTGCCTTTGTATCTAGGGGAGTTGAAAATAGGCAAGAATGGAGAGAAATTTTGTATGGCAGTACACAGAATTTTGCAAGTTTATTGTGAGCCCTGCAGCAAACCGATGCATTTTAGTTACTGGTAAGTTTGTTAAATTATGTTTGAAATTGTACATCTTCGAAGATGGCCATCTATTTACTATTAAGTCCATCATGTCAAAAATACCTTACTTTAAAATTTTTTAAAAAAGATGTGGAACTATTATTGCATTTGTTCTTAGGTATAAATTAAAAATACTTCGGTTAGTAAATGCATTTGAGTTTTCCATTGTCATGGGTAACACCAAAGTGGAATCAGTGTTTTATGGACAGCATGTTCTTGTGTTTAGATTTTGGAACTATAACAAGTGTATTTTCTGCTTCTGCTCTGGAGTGCCACTGTTTTTATAGGTCTGAGTTCATGCATTTCATGACTGCAGATGGATAGCTTTGTGACAGAAAAGGCTTATAAAAGTTCACAGCATCTTTGTAATTTTATGTGCATATGTGTGTGACTTTCTCAAAGAATCTTTCCTTAATGTATTATAGGGACCATTGTGAGGCAGACTTGAGTCTTCCCTTTTGACAGTTCTGATGCTTAGGAACCCACTTCCCTAACTCATGTGACTGTGAAATTCAATGAATAGGTTTGAAAATTGTGGACTGTCTATGCAGTAGCTTTCTTTATTTTCCAACATTTAAACAGAAGTGTTATATGTAATAGAAGACTTAAGCAGTTATTTGTGAGTGGACTTGACTAGTGTCCCAATCCATTTAAAATCAACTAGATTGCTTAATAGCTTCTTTGCAGAATCCCAAGGGAGTCCTTTCTAGTGGTTTTTTTTTTTGTTTGTTTGTTTTTTTTTTTAAATACGTACCTTTAGCTCAAGGACAAAGTAAAAAGACTATCACTGGTTGGTAATACTAACTTTCATTTTTGTGTGTGTGTGGTTTAAGGATGTAGAACTAGCTAATGTGATTGAGTTTTTATTTACTGTGATGAAGTACTTTATTTCTGGGTAGTATGTTTTTCAGAATATCAAGTAGTTTGTTTAATCATCAATTTTATAATAATGGTAATGATCATTTTGTTGTTACTCATAGTTATGAGATTTTTTTATTCTAACCAATAAATGAATATAAATAATTCAAATTACTGGAGAAGTGTGTTGTCAATACTATTGAAACCAGGAGAGCTAAAGTAAGTCAAAACCCAGTTAATTAGATTTCTTTAATAATCTTTCCTCTTTATCAAATTTTCTTAAATATTTTTAAGAATGAGTACTGCTGTGTTTCTTTATAAATAGGCGACGTAAGGCATATTATAAAACATTTCAGATAGATGTCAGTTTAGTTCCTGATAAGGTCTAGTATATGGCAATTTCTTATAACTTATAACTGCATTAAACACACATAATGAAAGGTGTATATTTTCATTTATGTTTTATGCTGGTTGAAAATATATCTCTAACTTATGAAGAAATACATTATCAAAGCTTAATTCATTGCAATCACTTTTCTTTTGTTTCCTCATTTATTCATTCAGTGTATATACCAAGTGCTTTTCATTGTCTGGTACCTACCGTTATCTGATTTTATGTTTGTGAGTATTGTGTAATTAATTAATTTTAGCAGTTTCTCATTTCTATAATATATGGGTCTTTACTTTGCTCTCATGAATTTTTCTGAGGGCATGCGTGGACATCAGTGGTGTTTGAAATTTCTCTGGCTGACCTTTATATATGAAGCAAGTGCTTGCTTATAAACAGTAGTTCTAAAATAAGTTAGTTTAACAACAAGCATCTTCTTCACAAACAATTTCCTGTGCATATTAAAAGTTTATAGCCTGTTTTTAAATACAATATTATGATAGGGTATATATTGTAGAATAGTGATATGTTTCTTTTGCCAGGTTCACTTAAAGTAGGAATTTGTTTTTAATATATGTATAGACGCTTTTTATGTTTAACTGAGATATAAATTACGTAGTTATTTTTTAGTTTACTGTTATTCATTTGAAGGATAAAACTAATCGCATCTTCTCCTGCTTGTGGGAAGCAAATTCTCTCCCACTACATATTTGTGTATTAAAAGCCCTATAATATTTTTTAACAAAATAGAAATTAATTTGAATGTTTCTTATTCTTTGGCATATCAAATGGAGCACTTTGTTTATAATAAATATTTAATGGCTACAAAATGAAATTATTTGTACTTTACACACAGTGCTACTCTTTTGGCATTCCTCGTTGAACTACTTAAAAGTTCAGTAGCCATGCAAGAACAGATGCTGGGTGGAAAAGGCTTTTTAGTCATCGGCTACTTACTTGAAAAGGTAAGCGATACATATGTGTTGATGGCTTTTGTATGTAGCTTCTGCCACTGGAACAGTTGACAATCTCTAATCATATTTCCTTAGTTACCCTTTGATCTTTCAGTGGTAATACTGTGTGATAATTAAAGAACATTTTATATTATGCTTTGAATGTAAGCATTGACATCAAATTAAGAAATTGTGAATGAAAGTAGAAACTGGAGACAAATTCTCTCCCAAGCCTAGGGAAACTGAGGCAGGAGCATAATAAGTTTGAGATTAGTCTGGGATTTTCCTCATCCTAGTGCTACAAAGAATGACCACAAGTTACAACTTTCAGTGACCAATAGTTATGAGGGGAAAAGGCAAGTTTTGAAGTGTGAGCATGTGTTAAGCTAAGATTCTAGTATATTAGGTAAATTCAATGCATTCTTGACTTATACCGCATTGTCTACAGTGGGTTTACTGGAATATAACAACATTCTTGAGTACAAGTACTCGTATCCAGCTAATACGTTTATTTGAAAAGATAGTTTTCTGCTATGCTACAAAACAGTAAAACAGGGACCTTATGAGTAAGATTTTGTTTTCTGTTTTTTTTAGGCAGTACACAACTTTCGTATAGTTTCTTGGTACATTTTAGTAGCTGATAATGCAGTCCTTATTTTATTTTATTTTATTTTTTTAAATTTATTTATATATTAAAGATTTCTGTCTCTTCCCAGCCACCGCCTCCCATTTCCCTCCCCCTCCCCTAATTAAGTCCCCCCCCCCTCAGCCCGAAAAGCAATCAGGGTTCCCTGTCCTGTGGGAAGTCCAAGGAACCCCCCACCTCCATCCAGGTCTTGTAAGTTGAGCATCCAAACTTATTACTCTTTAAGATTGCCTAACGCCTTTGTCTTTGTAGTTTCACCTATATCAAATTATCATTTCTCACAAAACAAGCAGTTTCATTTTGTTATAGTGATCTTCTTATTAAACCCTTCACATATTTATTTCATCTTTTTAATTCTTTACGATGCCTTCTTTTTTGTGTGTAGAAAATTACCTGTTTTTTGATGGATTTATTCTTATCAAAAATGTTATTTCATGTCTTAATCATGTGTTTAGTTTTTGACTTTTCATGAATATAGAAATATAATTATTGATTAGTCCAAACTTGTATTGCTATTGCTACTCCTTCATTTATTATAGACCTTTTTTTAGATGCTTTAAAATTTTGTTTGTAAAAGTAATATCGAAAACTGATGACTTAATTTCTTTTCTGATAACTGTCTCTGTTTTTCTTGTTGCTTTATTGTACTATCTGAGACTTCTGCTGCAGGGTTGACTAGAAGTTGAATAATAGACAACTCTTATTACTGATCTCATGGACAGTGCATTTAATAATTATAATTATTAATAAATTCTAATTTATTTCTTACTTTGTTAACCATAGTCATTAATCTCCAAATAGAAAACTTCCATTTACTTGTAAATATGTTGTTCCAGTAAGATTATCACCATACTTGCATTCATATTGCTGAAACCTTTCCTTCTCAGACCTTGTTTTGATGCTTGCTTATTTAGATTTTCTTCACTTTGATAACAGCTACAACATTACATTCCAGCAATGCCTTATTTCAATTTTGTGTCAGTTTCTCTATTTCCTGTTCTTGCATGTTTTTATTCCTACCTTTACTCCTAAGTCTGTGTTCACCTGCTGGTCTTCTTCCTGAAAACCTTTTCTTCTGTAAGTCATTCAATTAAGATCATCCATTTGGTTTCTTTAATTTTAGATACTTATTATTCTCATGTCTCTTTCATTCAAGTTCCACTATGATGTCCACTCTTCTGCACAAATTTCATTAGCCAAAATATTGAGTCTGCTTTTTCTCTCATGTGTTCTATTGTCCTTTTTTATCTTATTTAATGCTGTAATCATTTAGCTAAACCTAATACTTTAATCCATTTTGACTATGGTTTTTCCCACACTAAACCCAAACACTCAATAATTATTTTAGCCGTCAGAATGTATCCAATATCAGGGACCAGAGAGATATCTTATTGGTTAAGAACACTTAGTTCTTTTGCAGAAGCCCCAGGTTAAGTTCTTAGTACCTAGATGGTGGTCTGTAATCACCCATAATTCCAGTTCTAGGGGACCCAAAAGCCCTCTTCTGACTTACTGATCACTGGGCATGCATGTAGTATACATATATACATGTAGACAAACCAGTCACACAAAAATGCAATAAATACATTTTTAAAATTTAAAATTAAGAGTATTGCTATTTCCTACTCCTTACTCTCCTTACCATGAATGGATACCATTTTATTCCCAGCATCATCCTTTTTCCACATTAGTTACTTTTCTGGTTTTAAATCTGTTGCTGTGATAAAATAGTGAACAAATAAAGTTAAGGAAGAAAGGGGCTTATTTTCACTTTAGGGTTCCTGCCTACCATTGAGTCAGCGAGGGAAGGAACTCAGGCAGGAACTTGAAGCAGAAACCATGAAAAAAAGAATACATGCTAGGTTGGCTAGGTGAATGGCTTAGACTCATGCTTGACTAGCCTTCTTTATAGCCCAGGACTACCTGCCCAGGTAATGGTGCCACTCACAGTGAGCTGGGACCTCCTGTATCAATTAAAGGTCACCATAATTTCCCATGGGCATGTCCACAGGGAAGAATCATATTGGCAGGCATCAATTGAGACTACTTTCCTATGACTCTAGGCTGTTTCAGGGTGATGGCTAAAACTGACCAGGATATTTACATAGTCTGTCTTACACTCACATTACTTCTTTAAATGATCTTACTTCTTATTTGACTGAATTGTTAATCTCATACCTCTGACATATTTTACCCTTCTCCTTGACTTCACTGTATCATCCCTCTTTGCCTTTTTCCTAGCAGTAAATGTGTGCACGCCCGGGCTGGCCTTTTGCTTCACTCTTCCGGTACTTTTCTTCTGCATGTATGAATCCTTTGCGTCCTTGTCGGGCTTACCTGTGGTGACTACTTAGAGTTAGATGCTTTTTGTGACCTTTCTAACGCCTTTTATAATAGTGCTCCCAATAATCTGGTTTCTCTTCAGATCGTATAAATCTTTTGCCTTTTACTATAATAGTGCTTTCAGCTTTTATAATAGTGCTTTTATAATAGTGTTCCCAGCTAGGAGAATGGACAATACTTCACATCCAAATGGTATCAATAGCTTATCAGTCTTCATCTTGGCAAGAAGTTGACAGAACATCCAACTTGAGTTATTAACAAAAATTTAGTATCTGGCTATTTAAGAAGTAAGTTGCAAGCTTTATTTAGGGAATTGGCTAGGTCTGTACAATGGCAAGAATTATTATTTAGTATAACTCAGAAGAGTGTTGTATTTGAGTGGATTTATGTCTTCAATAAAGTAATAGTATATTTATTTGTACAACTATGTCCCCACTTCATTTGCTTTCTGTCCATTAATAACCTGCTGATGGATCAAACTAGTTAAACTTTTAGCTGGAAACCAACAGGCAAGAAAATTTCTCAAATACAGTGAAAAGAAAAGTTACAGAGCCATCTAAATAGTTAATTCAGTGTTAGGCTTGATTATGTAAGTCTTTAATGGTATCAGACACCAGGTTTGTCTATGTCTCTTTTATGCTGTCTCCAGGATTGCCTTATCCTACAGCTGTTTTTGCTCTATACCCTCACATCTAGGTAGAAAGATAAGTTTTCTATTTTGCATCCATACATGGTTCTTTTCTTGTAGTAGATCTGTCAGCCTAGGTCTTGCCCTCTAATGAAAATGCTAGAGTTTGATGTTTAATCTATAAAATAAATTGTCACCTGTTCCCCAACATTAGATAAATGTGATTTAGTTGGGTTTGTGGACCTCACCCTTGGTATCTTAGGAATTGAACCTTGGTACAAAGGTTCAATTATTTATGATACATGTTTACCAATTAAAATAATTCCCACAGTTATGTAACATACAACAATGCATGTTTTTATGTATTGAATGGTTTTTGCAATAAAGTAAAAATTTCTGCTAAGCCATTACATCCTGTTGGATAAATACTGTTTTATTCAGCATAAGTTGCTTTTTAAAGAATTCAGTGATATTATTTGCTGTTTAGTTACTTCAGAGTGGATACTGCAGTTGTTTCTTCTAATATATCATATTCTATTTCCAAATATATTTACCTATATATTTAATGTGTTACATAGCCTTCCCCTCCCCTTCCTTTCTATTTCCTCCCTTCCTTTTTTTAAAGATTTATTTATTTAGTATATGGATGTTTTACCTGCATATGTATCTTTGTACCAGTTGTATACCTGGTGCCTACAATGGCAAGAAGAGATCCTCTGGAACTGGAGTTACAAACAATTTTGATTACCATGTAATCGTTGGGAAATGAACCTGGGTTTCTGGATGCACAATCAGTAAGCCTCCTCCCCAGGCGCCTTCATTTCTTTTCTTTTGAAACAACTCTCTAGACAGAATATTCCAGAACCCATCATTATCCTCCCTTAGCCTTCAGCTGATACTACATGTATGCATAGCACTGGCCTCATATAGTTCATAAGTATGTGATCGTGAGTATATTGGCCGTTCATGTCCAGAAAACACTGTTTCACAGCTGTTTTCCCTGACCTTGTGTAAGAAGGATTGGGATGTGATATGGTGATGGTGGTGACAAGGATTAAAATACATTGAGAAATGCATGAACAATAAATAAATTAAAATAGTCTCATGTTATGTGACTCAAAACCAAAAGTTTATATTTCTATGACATTCACATTGTGATGCTTCTGCCTAAGATATATTCCTATTAATTGTCCAAGTATAAATCTCTTTAGTATGTGTGTTTTTCCAAATGTCTTACACATGCAAAGAGAACACTCTACCACTGAGCTAAATATCACTATAACTGTACTTTTTTAAAAGATTATTTTGCTTGTTAAAATGAAAACATTGCAAAACAGAAAAAAATGTAAAGTAGTTAATTGAAGTTTAGGTTTCTTTTTATCTTTTCTAATCTCCCAGTTTATTTTTTCTGTTCTTGCTTACATTTTTAAATTTAATATGAATATTGTTAAATAAACATTTAATGAGCAATTAGAGAAGGGACTAGAAGATAAAAGGAAAGAAAGTTGCCCAGATAACTTAGAGGATCAAGACATAATGAGTACATTCCATCCACAGGTGAAAGTGAATGCTATTGCAGAGAAGGTTCATTGTACACATGGAAAACTTTTAGTAGCCAACAAAACTCAGTTTTGAAATTTTTTTTTGTAAAGATCATGTGTGTATCTTTAGTTTTAACTGTTCTTCAGTAGTATTAATGAGCATAAAATGACAAGCATCTCTGTGTAAAGGCTCAATATGATACTCTTGAGGATGCCTTTCATGGCAAGTTCAAAACCTAATCTGTAAACTAGAGATTATTATCAGATGAATATGGTCGTAATGCTTGTTGGCGTTGGCAACGTTTCAGCATTTGAGTTTATACTGAGTTTTTCTGAAGAGCAATATGCCACATTTTTGTCTGAAATTATATTACAGTGTAGCATTGGCCAAATAAACTATAACTCAAGAATCATTATATCTATACTTCAGAATTGGTATATAAAACATTTTTATAGTACTTGATTAGTTTAAAAGTCAGGACACCTTTTAAAACATTATTTTCATTATACGCTTTCAAAATCTATGCCATTCCCTTATAGGCTGTCTCTCTTTAGGCGGGCTGTATTTTAAATTTTCATCAATTTTATAGGAGAGTGCCTATTTTATCAAGCCATCTTGAAGAATTGGTATGAGTTTCAGGAGGTCTGTTGTTTAGCTGTGTTTAGTGATAACTCATATATGGTCTTAGCAATTGAGTGTTTGTGATGGGAATACTCTGTCTAAAAATGTTATGTGAAGAAGGTCAGAGTGTCATCAAAAGAGATACTTTAATTGTAGTGAAAGGAGGACAAAAAAAAAGTCATATTTAAGCAAAGGTGTCCAGATCAATCTGAGAATCATGACACCAAATAAGAACACTGTGTCCAGAAAAGTCGGGTCTAATTTTTACAATGGCCAGGCCAGGCAGGTTTGTGTTGAGGCAGGCAAACTGCATTTGTCCGTGTTGAAAATGCCTAGAGAAATTGAACATCGGGTTCTATTGTGCTTGTTGTGAAGTGATTTTGAAAAAAGGCACTCTTTTTCTAATTTATTACAATTATTTTAATCTAATTTCTCTAGTATCTTCTGCCAGTTTTTGGATTCTTTTTCATAACTTACTTCTTTCTATTGAAAAGAGTTACTTATCTGTAATTCTCCTGGACAGAGACTAGATAACAAGCTGTCACTCAAAGGAATAGCATAAAACTTCATCTAATTACATTTTTACTAAATGAGACAATATATACTTTTGTGCTTTTAATTTAAACTTTTGGGACGATTTGAATTATTTCTAAAAACAATGTATAATTTGATATCACAGATATTTCTAGATAGACTCTCTGTTTCTGCCTTTAGTCATCAAGAGTTCATATAACCAGAGCTGTGCTGGAACAGTTTTTATCATTTGCAAAATACCTTGATGGCTTATCTCATGGAGCACCACTATTGAAGCAACTTTGTGACCATATTTTATTCAACCCAGCCATCTGGATACACACACCTGCAAAGGTCTGTATTTTAGGTTCATTCATTTAATTTTATTTTAATGTTATAAAGTAAAATTAATAATACAGCTTATAGTTATTGAATCTAATGTATCCAGTTGAAAATATTCAAGGTTTTTTGCTTATTTTCTAGTCAGTGTGAGGCAGAGATAAAAATTTGATTATGTAAATTATACTATATACAAAGAAACTATATTTAAACATTAAACTTGGAATACAGCTACATTTTTTGTTATTAGATAGGATTTACGCCTTGTCAGCCGAGAGAAACTTGACCTCTATTGAAAGACCAGGAAAGGAGACTAGAACACTGCTCATTTAGACTGGGAAGTTGCTTTCATTTTGAACTCAGATATTTTATGACATAAATATTTTAAAATAAACATATACAGAAGCCACAGTGTTTTTCTAGAAATTTACATAAAAGCCTTACATAATTGAATTTATTCATAACTTATCCTAACTTAAATCTGTATGAAGAATAAAGTGATTTTGGTTGTCTTTTGTAGCTTTTAAATCTTTGACACAACTGAGTGAGTAATGTTTCATTTTTGGTTTTCATAAAGCTTATTTCATTATTTATGGCACTAAATCCACAGCTAATCATTTTCCCCCTTCTAATAAATTAGCTTGATTATCATGTTTACATGGTCAAAATCTAAATATCTCTGTATGGTGGCAATACATGAAGAAAGTAGAGTTCCACAACCTTTGGCGTGTGTTATGGCAGTATGTGTTCTCTGATGCACTGCAGCTGTTCCTATGGAAAAGAGTGTGCTCCTTTCCTTAAGAGCTTTCCAGACAGCCTCCATAGCTCCATCATTTTATTTCTTCTAAGATTAGCACCAATTAAAGTCTCAGTTATAATTGATAGTGGCTATTATCCTTAGATGAGAACCTTCTTTCCTAATTGGGTCATGTGGATTATCTTTATTGAAATCAGTTTTGTTGGCTGTTTGTTTTGATTATTTTTTTAAGATGTAAATGGATATTAAGAAAAGTTATTTAAAATCACATAGTAAATTGTATTTAACTATGCATTTGAGTTAAAGTGAAATTTATATTTAATAAACACTTTAAACTTACTGTGATTATATATTAGGTTCAACTTTCCCTATATACTTACTTGTCTGCTGAGTTTATTGGAACTGCTACCATTTATACCACCATACGAAGAGTTGGGACAGTATTGCAATTAATGCACACATTAAAATATTACTACTGGGTCATTAATCCTGCTGACAGCAGTGGCATTACACCTAAAGGATTGGGTAAGCACCCCTGCCATCGATTTCCATTTCAATGTGTTTGTTTGGATCCTGGGTACAAGTACAGTGGACACATGTGCATAACCACAGTTATTTTTTTAGCTCTTTGATTTCTTACGAGGTAGAATTATTATCTTAGAAGTTGCATATGGGAGAGAAGATAGAGAGGTGACAGAGAGAGAGAGAGAGAGAGAGAGATATCTAGGTTCAGTGAGACAGCTCAGTGCTTACAGACACTTACCTCAAATTCTCATAATATCTTCAGGCTCCCTTAAGATGGAAGGAAAGAACTGATTCCTACTAGTTATTCACTGAGCTCCGTGCTATGTCATGTGTGAATCCCCCATACACAAATTAATTGTGTTAAGAATGTTACAGTGTTAAAATATTTTAGAATAAACTCATATTTTTAAATGCACTTCATTTTAATATAGATGCTTTTTATGGGGCACTCTGGAAGATACAGTCATAATATTAAAAGTGGGCAAATGTGGCTGCTTCCATGAGTGTCTTCTAGTACTTTGAATTTTAAGGTAGTAGGACTGCTTTTTAATTTTTTTAATATTATTTTTTAGTGGTTTTATTGAGCTCCACATTCTTCTCTGCTCTCCTCCCTTTCTCTCCCCTCCTCTTCAACCCTCTCCCAAGGTTCCCATGCTCTCAATTTACTCAGGAGATCTTGTTTTTTTTCTACTTCCCATGTATTTTAGATCTATGTATGACTCTCTTAGGGTTCTCATTGTTGTCTAGATTCTCTGGAATTCTTCTTGTGAATTGAAAGCTGACTTTCTTTGCTTTATGTTTAAAAAGCACTTATGAGTGAGTACATATGATAATTGTTTTTCTGGGTCTGGGTAACCTCACTCAATATGATATTTTCTAGCTCCATCCATTTTCCTGCAAATTTCAAGATGTCGTCATTTTTTACTGCGGTGTAGTACTCCATTGTGTAAATGTACCACATTCTCCTTATCGATTCTTTGGTCGAGTGGCATTTAGGTTGTTTCCAGGTCCTGGCTATGACAAGCAATGCTGCTATGAACATAGTTGGACTGCTTTTAAACTTCATTTCAGATATACTGGTTGACCTGGGTATTGTAGAAACTGCTTTAAGTTTTATATGTTTGCCTTTGTGTTTTAAGAATATAGTCATGTTTCTAATTATACAAAAGTACAATTTTAGAATACAAAATAATCCCAAAGAGAAACATTCCTCGTCCGCTGCATGGGAAGAACTGTTGAAAGTGCAGCTCTTGTCCCTGTAGGGAGTCCATACATGAAAATGGTTTAGCTTTTCTACAGACGCAAACTTTTTCCAGTTTTAATCATGCTTCCTGTTATATGCTTTAAATTTTATTTCTTAAGAAATGTGGTGACCTGTTCCCATTTATGTGACTGTCTTTGATTTGTTTAGAATTGACACGAAAGGCTAATTAGAAATAGTTTAAGTTTTGAAATGTCCTACCAGTATATAGTTTCACCAACAGTGTGTGATAAGGACTTCTCAGGATGCTCATAGTAATATTGGCTGTTATAGTTACATCAATCTCTTTGAGAAGGGAAAATGGCATTAGTATGCTAATATTTAGGTAGCCATACTTTTTATCTTATGATGGGAGTCAATAATTGTCACTAATGGTCATGTCTGATCACATCTGATCTGTTTATCATGTGACTTTTGAGATGCTTATGCCCAGAGTTATCCTCTCTTTGTTAATATCTTTAATAGTGTGTCATATAGTTAGAGATACAGAAACATGTTCAGGTACGTACATAACATTGTAGTTGTTGTTCATATCATCCCTATTTGTTCTGTAAAAACTCAAAGAGCTGCACATCTGCTGCTCTGAAGTTAGAGTCACAGCTGTGTGACATAGAACCTGAATGAGCCTGAAGCCCTCATACTGAGAGGATAAATTGTATTCTCTATTGTAAGCAAACTATATTATAATTCAGTTTAGCCTTTGCTGTACAAGCATAACTTTATAAAACATAAAAACTTATCAAGAGTTATATAAAAACTGAAGCATACTTACATATTTATTCCATTTATATATCTTTTTATTCTACTACATTAAACCAATCTGCACCCCCACAGGAGAGCCTGAGAGTTGAAATGCTGACTCAAAAAATTTGTCATTCTCGTTATCTTTTTGTGAATGACTCAGGTATATACATTGTTCTTTGTATCAGTTGACAATGAATTAGAGAATACTTGTTTTCTTACCCTACCCCAAATGCTTCCCTGTTTATTTCCCCAAAGATAAAGGTGCTCTGTTAAGTCATAGTGGGGTACCCAGAAGAATCAGAGTATTAGCATTAATACAGTGCTGCTTCTAATTCAAAGCCCTCATTCAGATATTTATCAATTGCTTCAAAGGTATCACTTCTAGAAAACATAATACTTACCTTCTCGAAATGCCAGTTTCATGACAGTTGTGTTTCCTTAACCTAGTCACTTTCGTGTTCCTTTATATATGTCCACTTAGTCTTTGAGCAGTCTGTACACATTCATGGCCTTGACATGTTTGAAAAGCACAGACAGATTTTGGATTTGTATATATTTATTCATGGTGACTCAGGCTTTTCATTTTTGATAGGAATAGCACAGAAATTCCATTTCTGTCTCAACCTCTCCTGTCAAGGAGATACATGATGATTAGCTGACTTACTTATAGTGGTGTTGACTGTGAATGCTTCTCTGGGGTCTGGTCTCCTTGTTCAGACTGTGTACATATCCTCTTCTGCAACAAAGCTTCAGCTTATTTCAAAATAAATTATGATGGAATTTATCTTACCCTGTCAGGTGTCAAGAGTGATACTTTCTAACATAATAGTTTGCATATTGCTATCAGAGAGGATGTGCTTTTCTTCTGTATGTATTTGTTTTTCATGTTTTTTATATCAGTATGGACTCTTGAGTTTTTCTTTTATTCAGTGTATTATATTAGCAGCTGGTATCTTTCTGTGTAAGAGCCCTGTACTTTAGTTTTCTGTTGCCATAAAATCTGTTTTATACAGTGAGTTGTGTTGATTTATGTCATAACACATATGAGCATGCTATACATGAATGACCATGGCATAGTCCAGTACAACATGGAAGCATGGTGATGCAGGACCTGGCAAAGAGTAGTGCACTGCCCTTGATGGTATGCGTATATATTTTGATGCTTATATTCCTCCAGATTTGCCCAGTAAGAAGCTTTACAGGAAATGTTGTGCCTTTATGCAGAGATCCATAATTTTGTAGTATTTCCTTACTGTACAACACAAAGTATTCTTGGATCTTATTGTAACTTTCTTGTCCTAACCCTAGTTCTCCAAAGACTCCTTGCTTGCTTAATGAATATTAAGTGTTTGATACTAAGATAATGAGTGTTAGTTGTACCTGCTGTGTTTTTGTGTATCCTCTTTTGGTACTCATAGGTCTAGGATATACAACTATATGTGTGCATAGTGCTGTGGATACTCACCATGCTCTGTTAAAGTCATGTTGCCCAGCCCAACTTTAAGGGTTTTGGTATTTGCAACCTTTTCTCCATAGTAGGAACTGGCTGTCATTAGATATATTAATGTATTTACATATTGTTTCTTTTACCTTGGTAAACCAGTGTTTTAACATTTGTACCATTATCTCAGTCTTAAGCATGGTGTAAAGCCAGTGGTTCTTTTTTTATTTTTTTTTTAAATTTTTGGTTTTTAAGACAAGGTTTCTCTGTACAGCCTTGGCTGTCCTGAAATTTACTCTGTAGGCCAGGCTGGCCTTGAACTCACTCTGCCTGCCTCTACCTCCCGAGTGGTGGGATTAAAGGCCTTTACCACCACTACCCAGCAAGCCAGTGGTACTCAACCTGTGGGTCACAACCCTTTCAGAGGGATCACATATCATATATCCACATTATGACTCATAATAGTAGAAAAATTAGTTATGAAGTAGCAATGAAATGATTTTATGGTTTGGGTCACCACAACATGAGAAACTATATTAAAGGGTTGCAACGTTAGGAAGGTGAGAACCCACTGATATAAGTTATGATTTGTTCTGCAATTAATTTTAAATTTGTCCAATAAATCTTTTATTTTATATTTTGCTTATAATTTTACTAAAAATGGATTCATGTCATACACATAACATGAGCATAAGTGTGTTTCTCTTTAGCATGCTGTTTCCATTATAAGGAGTGTGATATATTCATATTTATTGCTAACAATTACTGCATGTTTACAGTTTAAATTATTGAAGTGCTGCCTCATTGCTTCACATATGCTCACACACATTTTGTCTTAACATGCCCTATATTACAGCAATACTATGGTTTTAATCATTACAATGAAGTAAAAACTAGCCTGAGACATTGTATATTCTTTGATGTATTTATAGATCACAACGAGGCAGGCTTTTTGAAAGTAATGGTCATATATCAAGAAGGGTTAGGTGCTTTCCCATTGATTGATAACAGTGGGCAAAAATATGGCTAACACCTGGAAAATGTGGAACAGATTTGTTTCTCATAACAGACGAATGCACTGGGGGACAGTTTGCTTGCAATTGCAGTAATCTGCATGAAATATTTGTGAGTGCATAATCATATGTTATAAAGGTTACCCAAAGGAATTATGCTTTTAAAATGTATAAAAGCAGTGACATCAATTCATGCTACTTTAAGAAACACTTGATGTTTAAACAACTTTTGTGAGTCTAGCTATGCTTAAAAGTTTCTTTTAGGGGCTGGAGAGATGGCTGAGCGGTTAAGGTTAAGAGCATTGCCTGCTCTTTCAAAGCTCCTGAGTTCAATTCCCAGCAACCACATGGTGACTCAAAACCATCTGTAATGAGGTCTGGTGCCCTCTTCTGGCCTGCAGGCATACATGTAGATAGAATATTGTACACATAATAAATAAATAAATAAATAAATACTTTTAAAAGTCTATTTTATTATGTCATACAGTGTACAGATCCTTTCAGATTCTCATTTTTACTGGCAGTTAGACATTGACAAATGAATCCTTTACATATAGAAATGCTGGAACTGATAAGTGTATTTTAACTCCCCGTGCTTGAATTCATTTACTGACTCAGCATTTGTTGGTGCCTATTAGAGTGTGCATTGCACATGGGGAAAAAGGATGCAAAAACAGTAATTGTGAGGAAGTGGTACAATTTTCTATGTGATGCATGGGATTAAAGGAAGAGTCTATAAATGGGGAGAAGTTTACAGTCCAGAGAAATATTAGAAAATTTGTTAATAAACAAATAAATAAAAGCATCTCTATTAATATTTTGACTTGCATTTTTTTAATAGCAGTGATATATTGGAAAGTTAAAACAGCTCTTTCTCCTAAATCTAACATTCAGAAAATAATATGGGATTGCAAAAACCTAAAAATTAATTTTATTCTTATAGTTTTGAAATTGTAAAACATCACCAGTAACAATTATGACTTTGAAAACATTTAATGAATAATTATACAGAATTTAAATATAATTGCATTAATCTTATTTAAAACATGGCTTATTTTCTTTCCAGATGGTCCCCGGCCATCACAGAAAGAGATCATATCACTTCGGGCGTTTATGCTGCTTTTTCTGAAGCAGCTCATTCTGAAGGTAAGATAACTTTGTTTTACAACGCAATGATTTGGTGAAAAGGAACTATTGTCAAAGTTTAAATATTATTGTCATTAAATTATTAAGAATGCTTTTTCATGTTGCTCTACAAACGCTATAATAGTGCCATTTTGCACCTAAATTTGGTCAAATATTAAGATGGCTCATGTTAAGTGGTACGGATGTGCTAAAGAGATGTGCCCATTAAGATAAGGAACATATGAAAAAGAATTGAGCAGAAAACTTTATTCTGAAAAATGGCATGTGTTCCATTTTAGCTAAGATTGTGGAAAGTTTTGTCCTGGAGGGTTTTCTAGAGTAAGGTGGTTTTAAGACAATGCACAGGCAAAGTTGAACAACACCACACAAAGGTGATCCCATAAACCCTGTGTTTTCGTGGCTTGTGGAGGCAGTAGATAACAGAGCACAGTAACGTGAAGCCATCACAATCTGCTAGCTTCTTTTGTTGAGATGAGGCCTTGTTTACATAGTCTTCTCTGGCTTTGACCTTACAGAGATCCACCTGCTTCCTGAGATCTGATTCTAAACACTTGTGCTAGCACTCCTGACCTTAAGTTTTAATAGTTTCCGTTCTATTAAAACATTAAACACAGTTATAATATTTTAAGTAGTTACTTCTCAAAAGAAACAAAATAGATTTTAAATTATGAAACATGGGGAAAATTTTTTTGTCTTTTTAAATACAAGGAATTTTTTTTTTATTGCGAAAAGAAGAAAAAAAAACATAAACAAAAAAACAAGTTTCCACCTCCTCCCAGCCTCCCATTTCCCTTCCCCTCCTCCCACCCTTCTCCCCCTCCTCCCACCCTTCTCCCCCTCCTCCCACCCTTCTCCCCCTCCCCCCACTCCTCTCCCCTCCCTCCCTCTCCAGTCCACAGAGCAGTCCGGGTTCCCTGCCCTGTGGTAAGTCCTAGGTCCTCCCCCCTCCGTCCATATCTAGGAAGGTGAACATCCAAACTGGCTAGGCTCCCACAAAGCCAGCACATTAAGTAGGATCAAAACCCCCTGCCATTGTCCTTGGTGTCTCATCAGCCCTCATTGTTCGCCATGTTCAGAGAGTCCGGTTTTATCCCATGCTTTTTCGGTCACAGTCCAGCTGGCCTTGGTGAGCTCCCCGTAGATCAGCTCCACTGTCTCAGTGGGTGGATGCACGCCTCGTGGTCCCGAATTCTTTGCTCATGTTCTCCCTCCTTCTGCTCCTCCTTGGGACCTTGGGAGCTCAGTCCAGTGCTCCTGTGTGGGTCTCTGTCTCTATCTCTATCCATCACCAGATGAAGATTCTTAGCCAAGAGGACAACTATATGTTTTTCCTTGGGTTCACCTTCTTACTTAGCTTCTTTAGGTTCACCTCTTGTAGACTCCGTGGTCCTTATTTATGGCTAGAAACCAATTATGAGTGAGTACATCCCATATTCATCTTTTTGGGTCTGGGACACCTCACTCAGGATAGTGTTTTCTATTTCCATCCATTTGCATGCAAAATTCGAGAAGTCATTGTTTTTTACCTCAGCGTAGTACTCTAGCGTGTATATATTCCATACTTTCTTCATCCATTCTTCCATTGAAGGGCATCTAGGTTGTTTCCAGGTTCTGGCTATTACAAATAATACTGCTATGAACATAGTTGAACAAATGCTTTTGTCATTTGATAAAGCATCTCTTGGGTATATTCCCAAGAGTGGTATTGCTGGGTCCAGGGATAAGTTGATCCCGAATTTCCTGAGAAACCGAAACACTGACTTCCACAGTGGTTGCACAAGATTGCATTCCCACCAGCAATGGATGAGGGTACCCGTTCCTCCACAGCCTCTCCAGCAAAGGTTATCCTTGGTGTTTTTGACTTTAGCCATTCTGACAGGTGTAAGATGATATCTCAAAGTTGTTTTGATTTGCATTTCAACATGGGGAAATTTTAATGAACTTATTGCTTTTAAATTTCTGTTAACTTCTCTGTCATTGATTTTGATACGTTTCTTTAAAGTCTTAACTTCAGATTTTAATTAACTGACAAAATATTTTTAATTAGGATCGAGGTGTGAAAGAAGATGAACTTCAGAGTATATTAAATTATTTACTTACAATGCATGAGGTAGAGTATATTTTTCATCTTTCATTTTAATTATTCAAAACTTACAGTATGATTTCAGCTAATTACTGTTATTTACTATTATGCAGGATGAGAATATTCATGATGTATTACAGTTATTAGTGGCTTTAATGTCAGAACACCCAGCCTCAATGATACCAGCTTTTGATCAAAGAAATGGAATAAGGTATGATCATAATAGCAGTAGTGTTAGTTGTGCACCCTAGACTATTCTTTGAGTAAAAGAAGGGAGAAAAGGGAAAAGCTGCCAGTTCCCATATTCTCGGAGAGTTAATGAACTGTACAGAAATGGTTTCAAGTCTGAAGCTGAGTAATTGTGCAGACCTTGCCTAGTGGGAAAATCACATTTATTTATTTTTGCAAGAGCACAATAAAAATACGGTGCATTTCAGAAAAAGAAGATGGAAAAGAATTATGGAGAGAGAGAGAGACAGACAGACAGACAAGACAGACCAATCAGATTTAGTGCTCAATATCTTGCTCATATATGTGTATCTGTGTGTGTGTGTGTGTGTGTGTGTGTATTGAATGCTTTACAGTCAGCAACATGAGTGAAAAGGGAGAGACTAATGAGTGAGAGCATCAGAAATCATTTTACCCATTAGTATATAGAGATGATGTCCTGAGACGAAGGTGGTGGTTTAGTACTGAGAATTACAGATTTTTCTTGATTAGAATTCTTACGAACGTAAACCTATAATTTAGCTCCTAGATAGAGATTTCCTTCAAATTTTTTCCAGTCTCAACAAAATGAGCAAAAAGTTAAAAAAAAAGAATAAATTTTATTTAATTCTTGTTATTTTATTTTACTTTTGATGCTGGGGCTCAACCCCACAGCATTACATGCGGGAGACAAAGCTTACCACTGAGCTACATCTCCAGACTCAGTTTTGCTGTTTGTTTAGTTGGACATAAGAAGCCCTGGTAATAATGCACCTCTGAACTGTGCAGCTAGCAATATGAGAATAAATCTGTAAGGCCTGAAACAAGTGTTTCTTGTGGATGCAGTGAACCTGAGAGGTATGAGAGGATTATTAGTATTTATATCACATGTCAGCATTTACCAATGGATTTGTATGTGATTTTTCTCCTGCTGTATTATCCCTGTGTTGTGAGCCTGTCCTTTTCTATTATTAATAATACTCTCTAAATTTTCCTAACAGAAATGACAAGTAGGTGTCAGTCTGTGGCTCACTTAACAGTCACAAAAAATATAAAGTCACCATGTTCAGGTGTTAAAGTCCTAAGAGCGGTGGAGATATGGTCTAAGTATGGGTCCAGGAATTGTGATACTTTTTTGTTCAGTGTGCTGGAAAGCAATACTTATAATGTATTCGTAAAGTACTGTTTCTTTTGTAATATTAGTTAGGTGCTTAAAAGATCATTTGTTTTGTAGGGTGATCTACAAATTGTTGGCTTCTAAAAGTGAAAGCATCTGGGTACAAGCACTGAAAGTTCTGGGGTATTTTTTGAAGCATTTAGGTCACAAGTAAGTTGATGTTTTCATAATGAATTACAGAAATAGCTACTAAAATTTTTCATGAGTTTTGTATTTCATTTTCAGCATATTAAATTTTGTTTAATAAAAAGTATACTATGGAAAAGTTAAAAATAATAGATGCATCTTTATAAAGTAATGTTTTATTAATAGTAAATTATGGAACAAGATCACAATTTATGTAAGAGTTAATTTCTACATTCTAGTGTAGGTAAACTACGAATTTTAAGAATATAATGAAATAGACTTGTTAAATAAAGTGCACATCTCTATTACTTCGGTGACAATTTCTGTGACCAGGAATGCTGTATACATTGCGTCTCCAGGAGATGTACTAGTTTACTTAATTGTTTTTAATCTTTTCTAACAGTGAGCCCCATTGATATTTTGTGATTGTACAACCTACAATAACACACTCCCTCAAATTCTTTTTCTGTAAGCTGCAACTGTTGTCTATCTTCTCCAGAATATCAGCATTCTTTTAAAGACTGTATTCTATGCAAATGAAAGTTATTGGCACTTCCGTAAACGTTGCTGCCTGATATTTTTCCAAATCTCAATTTTGTTTTCAATTTTGTCTCTTGCCCAAGTTTAAATTTAAAAAAAAAAATCACCTTGGCCATATGTTGCTTTAAAGCACAACTGTAGACTAGAAGCAAAAAGCATACTACCACAAAATTCGTGAGCACACAGGGAATTGTTTCTTTGAATAATTTTGGGGAATTTATGCAGAGTTCAGCCAATTTAGAATAAATGGAAAATAGTAATTACTGCTGACTAACACTGTATAAATTTAATAGAAAGAAATAAGAGGAAAACAAGTGTTTTAGTTAGTAGGAAGACTAGAATTTTCCTTTTTTATGACCTAAAAATGCAGAGATGACATAAGTAGAGTGACTTGGGAAGACTGAGGAAAACAGGAGCATGGAGTAAGTCAGGAAGTCAAATGCCTAAGCATTTAATGGTGAGAGACAGAATTCAAGTGACAGCAAACAGTCAACTGTTGTGACTGTTAATTGTGAAATGCTGTCTAAAAACTGGAGCATTATTTACCGTGTTAAATTAGAAACGTTAGTATTTTTACAAAATTATAAAGCTTTCAAAATATTGAGTATCTGTGTGAATAAAATCAAGATGAATTTATACAGTGGAACTCTTACACATGAAATGTAGGGTATTGGAGAGATGGCTTAGTGGTTAAGAGCTTTTACTGCGTTTCCAGAAGACTTGAGTTCGATTCCCAACATGCCTTTCAGGTGCATTACAACCACCTACAACTTCATCTCGAAGGAATCTGATGCCACTGGCCTCCTTAAACACCTGCACCCCGGTGCATATCCCCCTGAGATACATAAACATACATATAATTAAAAAGTAAATATGTAAATATTAAGCAAAAAGTGAAATGTACCTTAAAATGTGACATATATAACAATAGGTATCACTTGTAAAGTAAATGTAAAACACATTAAAATCGTTTTAAGGAAAAAGTTATAGTCAATTATAGAAGTAAAACTTGGTCTGTTTGTATATATAATAATCAAATGACTGAGACAGAGATCAAAAAATGAACAGGGAAGACCACATAAATACAAAACAAAAAAGGTAAGATCATGTTCTATATATTTGATTTACTTATTATTATGCAAGCCAAGAAAGATGAAGTATATTTTATATTGTTGAGGTTAAAGCGTTAATAAAATAGAATTTAGAAACACTTGTAATTTATAACCTTGAGATAGACTAACTACACCTGTCTCTGTCTGCAACAGTCAAAATGAAAAGTATCTCTGTAAGATGAACATGATATACTTTCACAAACCTGTGAAAATTTCTAGTGTTGTAGTAGACATCAGTGAAAAATTCTAAAATGTTGAAACAACTGACAATTTCTTCCAGACATGAAATAAGTTGAAGTGAGAGAAAAAGACACAAATCAGTTCTTCTATCTAAATATTTAAAAATTGGGATTGGAACAAGACTCAGCAGTTAATTACACCAGATGTTCTCCTGAGGACCCAGGTTCTATTCTGGCATCCACACAGTGCCTCACAACCATGTGTAACTGCAGTTCCTGAGGCTTCAGTGATCTCTTCTGGCCTCCATGAACACCGTTGCACATGATGCTCAAAAATACATGAAGGAAAACACCAACACATGTAAAACAATTGCTTAAAGGAGTATGCATAGCCATCAATTCACAAAAAGGATTTATAGGACAAGAATGATCATACAAAACAATTTAGAACAAAACAAAACAAACTCACAAATGAATTGAATACAGAAAAAGGAAAGTAGTAACTAATGATTCAGAAAATAGCAGATTATGAAGGCTTCTTTTAAATAAAAATGATAAATTATAATTCACCACATTAGGAAATATGAATATATAAGCCATACTTTAGGAGCGATATGAAAAGAATTTCTTTCCAATAACTAACACTCCATGAAAGGATCATTTTACCACTCATACTTAGCTTCCTTTAGGACACTCCTAAACAGAATGATTTATCTAGAGTGTCACCTATTGGACAAACTACAGGATATAAGGAAGCCTTGGATTAAATAAACTACATCTCAGACAAAAACAGAATTGAATCAGATTAAATTAATCAGCATCAGAAACAGATACTTGAAGAGTGAACCTTATAAATATTCTCTGGTCAAAAAGGATGTCACAGAATTCAAATATAATTTAACCAAGTGAAAATAAACCTAGAACGTAAGACAATTATTGAATTCTTTAGGATTTCTTTAAGGGAATGTCTCCAACAATGTTCTAAATTTTTATATTTCTTAAGAAGCAAGAAAATAATAACTTAAGCTTCAGCCTGGTATTTGTATGCACAGACATCTACTTCAGAAAATAACCCAAGCTTCAGCCTAGTATCTGTATGCATAGACATCTACTTGAGAAAAGGGGAAACGGTTTGTGCTTGTCATTGCTCTTGAGTATCCCCAGTGTCATTGCTTATGGTTAAATAATGGAAGGAATCCAAAGCTATGTGAGTTTTCACAATGGAAATTTCTTTACAAACTTCACAAACCAATTCATGCTGTGATATAATGGGCCCCCTAAACATAATACTCAGAAAAAACATATGCAAAAGAGGTACACATTTTAGGGTTCTCTTTTGTGGAATGTCTACAGTGCAGATTTGTTGCTGCTTTGGACTGTCAGTGGACATGTGGATTTAGTGTAAATTTGTCTGTGGAAACTTTCAGGATAGTGAAAATGTTTTATATCTGGGGGAGATTGTGGGGATACCACTTTTTATTCAGGAATAACTTTCAAAATATGCAAACACACACACAAACATAAAAAAGCCGCACATACCCAAGTTAATAAATTTGTAGTGGTTGATACCATATACAAAAAGAGAAGATTCAAAATTAAGGGCAATATATTATGTGTATAATAAGGAAAAACGATTGAGAAGACAAATATAAAAGGAAAAGTCATCGAAAAGGACACCAGGAGAAAAAAGAAGTTCATATAATATTCATCAAGATGACAGATTTGAAAACTTTTACTTTAGTAAGTGTTGACAAAAATGTACATTATTGGGAGTTTCACAATTACTGGGGAAATTATGTATTGATATATGTATATATATATTTGTTTTTGGACACAGTGTTTCTTTGTGCTTTTGAACTTGCTTTGTATACCAGGCTACCCTCAGACTCACGGAGATCTTCTTGCTTCTGCCTCCTGAGTGCTGGGATTAAAGGTGTGAGCCACCATTGACTGGCCATTGAACAATTTTTAAAAAAGACAGATACTTATGCTGTATGATAAGTAATTCTCTTCTTAATGTAGAGGACTATCACTTATCTGTACAGATGTCCATTGGCATTGCTACTAATAATGAGATATTAGAGGCAACATGATAAAAATAAGAAGAAATAGAATAAATACATAATTCATACACTGGCATGAAATTTGGTCACTTCGTGTTATTTAGAAGTAAAATTTAATGACTTAAAATTACTTTTTTTTTTTTTTTTTTTTGGTTTTTCGAGACAGGGTTTCTCTGTGGTTTTGGAGCCTGTCCTGGCCTAGCTCTTGTAGACCAGGCTGGTCTCGAACTCACAGAGATCCGCCTGCCTCTGCCTCCCGAGTGCTGGGATTAAAGGCGTGCGCCACCACCGCCCGGCTTAAAATTACTTTTGAAATATGAATATAATCAAGAAAGTTATGAAGGAAGCAGTATATAGAACCATTTATCTAAAACTAAAAATTCAAAAATAATATTATCAATTTAGGAATTTATGCTGCTCTTTTGAGTTATGTCATCAGTATTCTTGCAAGCACTGCCCTACTGTTACACAATTTCTTTTTCTGAAAGGAAAGGCTTCACTTGTGGAGGTGGCTCAGTCAGTAAGGTGCTTGTCACACCAGCATTAGTCCTTGAGATTGGATTCCTAGCACCTATTAAAACCGGGCATAGTGGTACATGTTTGTAACCTCATGCTGGAGGAGGGGCACAGGGATAGACAGTCTTCTCAAGGTTCTACAATCTTACCAAACAGTGACCAAACCTTTATATGGATGAGACTAGAGGGAACATTGGACATTCATAGCAAAACAGGAGGGGAGCACTGAGATCAGTGGAAGTAAACAGAGCAGTGCTATTTTAATCTGTGGGCAACTGCAGACATAAGCACTGATGAGACGGAGGATTATTTTTTCTCCAATATCAAGTGTACATGTTCACTTTTACCATCCTTAAATGGTTTTAATGTTAAGATTTGCTATAGACTATATTAGGGATTTGGAAGTATGTGTTCTGTGGATTATGGTTAATTTCTAAAACCATCTAGATAATCACTAGAATATGGAAATAATAACTGCAAATCATCACATATGGTTATGTAATTTGAATATATCTCATATTCTAATTGTTTGAAGGATTTCCTTGAGAACTGTTTAAATAACTTGTATGGTATTAGCAGTTAGTAGTGTTATGAACTGTTGCTGGTTTTTATAGATGATCGTCGATAAAATAATTAATTGTATGATTCTGCATTTGTTTATGTTTACCTCCATGTCTCCAGGCGAAAAGTTGAAATTATGCATACCCATAGTCTCTTCACTCTTCTTGGAGAAAGACTGATGCTGCATACAAACACTGTAACTGTCACCACATACAACACACTTTATGAGGTAAAGAAAAAAAACCTGTGACAAGAATTCTGAGTATGTATGCTAGAAACCTCTGTGTGTGATGGAGATCACTGCTTAAACCAGTTAACATCCCAGTCACTACAGCTGAGGATGAGTACAGTGCTGGTTAGTTTTTGTTAACTTGATACAAACATACACTTAACTGGGAAAGGGGACTCTTAATGGAGAAAGTGTATAGATTGTTCTGTGGGAAGTCTCTTGATTAATGACTGATGTGGGCAATGCTGTCCCTCAGCAGGTAGTCCTGGGCTGTATAAAAAGGAAGGCTGAGGCCGAGCGATGGTGGCGCATGCCTTTAATCCCAGCACTCGGGAGGCAGAGGCAGGTGGATCTCTGTGAGTTCGAGACCAGCCTGGTCTACTAGAGCTAGTTCCAGGACAGGCTCCAAAACCACAGAGAAACCCTGTCTCGAAAAACCAAAGCTGAACATTCCCTGGGTAGCAAGCCAGTAAACAGTGTTTTTCCATAGCCTCTGCTATGGAAGTTCCTGCTTTGAGCCCCATCCTGACCTCAGAGATGGAGTGTGACCTAAGAGCTATAAGCTGAAGCAAACCCTTTCTTCCACAAGTTGCTTTTATCATGATTTTTTTCACAACAATAGAAACGCTAATTGAAGACAGATGCTTATAATTTCCTTTTTAAAAACACATCCATATGTCCTTATGTTGTTCTAAGGGCCTTTCTTTGAATATAGGTTTGCTGCTTTGCTTCCTCGTCTTCCCACACAGACAGTATTCGCATATATTGTAAATATTAGTTCTACTCCACATCCGATACTCTCCTCCATTTCTGATATGTAGTCATTACTCACCTTAAGATAGAGTTGGCATTGAGATGAAGTGTAAGTTAGAACCATTTGTAAAAGTGATGTACTGAATTGTATTAAAATCTCATCATTTCCGTATAGAAACCCTCTCTCACCCCTTCTTCCAAAGTGTCTTAGTCAGTGTTCTTTTGCTGTAAAGAGACACCATGACCAGAGCAACTCTTAGAAAGTTGTTTTTTTTTTTTTTTGTTTTTCGAGACAGGGTTTCTCTGTGGCTTTGGAGCCTGTCCTGGAACTAGCTCTGTCGACCAGGCTGGCCTTGAACTCACAGAGATCCGCCTGCCTCTGCCTCCCGAGTGCTGGGATTAAATCTTAGAAAGTTTTTAATTGGGGTGGCTCACTTACATTTTCAGAGGTTCAGTCCATCATCATGGCAGAAAGCATGGTGGCGTGCAGACATGCAGGCAGATGTGGTGCTGGCTTGATCAGAAAGAATCAGGGAGCAGACTATCACACTGGGAGGTGTCTTGATCATGGGAGAACACAAAGCTCGTCCCCCACAGTGACACACTTCCTTCAACAAGGCCACACCTAATAGTGCCTGTCCCTTTGGGGGTCATTTTCTTTCAGAACACCACAGACACCATGGCCAAGGAAATTCTCATTTAAAAAAACATTTAATTGAGGTCTTGCTTGCAGCTTCAGAGGGTTGCTCCATTATCGTCATAGCTGGAAGCACGGCTGCATACAGACCAGTTCTGGAACAGTATAGGAGAGCTTTGTAGTCAGAGCGAGGCCGACACTGTGACTGCCCACTCCTGGTGACACAGCTCTTCTTCATCTTTCCAAGCAGTGCTCCAGCTTGCGGGACTAAACATGCAAATACATCAGCTATGGAAGCCATTCTTATCCAATCCTCCCCAGACAGGAACTGCACACCCACTACCTTACAAACACCAGTAACTTGTCAGGGCTGTTCCTGTGTATTCACCTTTGTTCTACTTTCTTCACTTTGTCTTCCGTGATCCTTTCTTGCTTCTGTAGCTTGTTGGCAAACATATGTAAGTGAAGGCTATTTTTTTTAATCTTCTTAAGTGTTGGAAATGATCAAAAGTAAAGTAATATGTAATATATAAAATTTATAAGAGATGTAAATTTTAGAGTCCGTGTATAGTTTTATGGGCTTGATGCTGCTTGGTTGTGACACTCCCTGCAGCAGTGTTTGCCCTCCTCTCCTGACTTAGCACCACTGCCTGGTACAGTAGGAATCATGGTGCTGCAGTAACTCAACAGTGATTCACATGACACTTGACTTACCAAATTTTACTTTATTTTATTTATTTATTTATTTATTTTTATTGAAAGAAAAAAAAAGAAATTCCCGCCTCCTCTCAGCCTTCCATTTCCCTCCCCTTTCTCCCACTCTTCTCCTCCTCCCCCCACTCCTCTCCCCCTCCCTCTCCAGTCCGAATCCCTGCCCTGTGGAAAGTCCAAGGTCCTCCCCCCTCCATCCAGGTCTAGGAAGGTGAACATCCATACTGTCTAGGCTCCCACAAAGCAAGAACATGAAGTAGGATCAAAACCCAGTGCCATTGTCTTTGGCTTCTCATCAGCCCTCATTGTCCGCCATGTTCAAAGAGTCTGGTTTTATCCCATGCTTTTTCAGTCACAGTCCAGCTGGCCTTGGTGAGCTCCCAATAGATCAGCCCCACTGTCTCAGTGGGTGGGTGCACCCCTCGTGGTCCTGACTTCCTTGCTCATGTTCTCCCTCCTTCTGCTCTTCATTGGGACCTTGGATGCTCAGTCTAGTGCTCCAGTGTGGGTCTCTGTCTTTGTCTCTGTCTCCATCCATCGCCAGATGAAGGTTCCCAGAGATAGTTCTCCTGGTGCCCAGATCAGATCTCCTTGCTGGTTGGGTAGCTCATAAACAAAGCGCCTACTTTGCTTGCTGCAGGCAGGCTATTGAAACAAAGGAATTCCCGCCCGCCTGGCTGCCCTCCGGATTCTATCCCAGCGCCCAGACAGGCTGAGCTGAGTGCTGTTATGTGCCCAAAGATGGCAGGGATGCAGAAGTGGGGAGGGTTCTGGATGCACGCTGGATGAGATAGGAAGAGAGAGGTAGTATGCAGGAGTATAGGCCCTGCAGAAAGTAGTTCCTTGTCCTGGGCTGCTGCCGCGGATCAGAAACTCTCTTACTTTATTTTTCAAAATTATAGTGTGTACATGTCATTTCTGAATAGGAAAAAAGCATTTTTTTCTAAACTCACAACTTTAAGAGACAGTGAATTGTGGATTCTTTGTTATGGATGTAGACAGAAAGACCTTGCATATCTTACATGAGAGTTATAGTTAAACCAACATACTCATCAACATTATTAAACTCAGAAAAGCAGCTTTTGGAAAATTTAAAAGATAGCATATCATCATTATAAAATATTTTTGAGACTTCAAAATAATACAGGGAAAATTACAACTCTCCTTTTCATGTAAACTGCGATCCATATTTGGTTCCATTCCAGGTTTTGCCCAGTTCTCAAGTGAGATAGTTTAATTGTGTTCCATATCCACAGATGAGTTGTCTAGGAATCTAAATATGTGTAAGTGAATGACTTACATTCATGAATGACTGCATCATTGTGACTCTCTCAAGTATTGTCACAGGAATATCACTCATATCATTTTCTCTAATGTTTACTGACCTTCCCACTTCTCCAACAGAGAAATGTAGCTCCTCTCTGCTGTCTTTAAACGTGGTTTGCTCATTATGATACACAGCTAACGTGCATTCTTATAAACATACAAAATAAAATGTATCCCTGTGCCTCCATTACTACTCAAAAGTATACAGATTCTCATTCACACATGTAGCTTTTATAGTATCATCTTATACATAGCCTATAGTCTTTTTAATATTTAATAATGTCTTGCTAATATATCTTTTTATTTTAGTATATTGACTTATAGGAGGTAAAAAGTAGTTGTTTCCGATAATGAGACAGTAAGTTTATTTAGGCTTTCAGTGATTCTTAGAAGGAGCAATAGGTAGTATGACCCAGATGGGCTATATCCAGTAAGGCTGCATTTCAGCCAGGTTTGGCTACATATGATCCCAGGCCTTGATCTCTTGTCCCTTCATCTGCAGCATTCCATTTTGTTATTTTATATCATTTTTTCTTACCTGCTTTCTTGTACAAACACAGGAGTGGGTAACAGTGAAACATCTTGGTCTGTTTTACCACTTCTGAATTTAACATGTTCACTTTTGTTAATCATTCCTCAAATTGCTTGATTGGTAGATTCCATCAGCTACCAATGCCGTTTTGAATTATTCAGTTTTCCCTTTTGAAGTAGTCCATGCAGAACTGAATAAATACCCATAGAGTGGATTGCACTGTACAGTGTGGTGAGGTGGTTTTCTTCTAGTCACGTGTGTGTTTTGAGACAGTGTCTGTCACTATATTCCTTCATGATAGTAGCTCCCTCATATGACTGTTACCTCAGGTTTTAAAATCAGCATATAGTTATTGATATTTTCATTGCCTATTAAAATAGACATACTGAGACTCACAGATTAAATAATTTGTTCCAGTAACATATGCTCATGAAATAGGCAGGTTACATGTACCTAAGACAGGGAAAAATAGCAAAATTGCCTTCAATAAATTACATGAAAAATGTCTTTTGAATCAAAACCTCGCAACAGTGTCAAACCTGAACTCTGACAGCTGATGACTAGTATTGGTTTGCTTTATCTGTGTCTTCATTTTCTAACTGATTAGTTTGCGTTGGCTTGTGATACTTTTCTGTTTTTTTTTTCAGCATTTACTTATGTGAATTTCTGAGCCTCTGCTTGTTTTATTACTGACAATTGAATAGGAATTTAATCCTTACATGGAAGTAACAGTGCAATATAGCACAATATTTTAAATTTGGAAGTTAATTGTACTCTTCTAGTCTCAGAACTAGAGCATACTACATTCTTGTGCACACTTGCATTTCTGTCGGACTTCCTGAGATGGGCTTAGTGGTGAATACAACATTCTCTTACCAAATGCCTGTGCGTTTTGTTCTTGGGATCCAGGTTTGGTTCTCTGCTAAGTCTTAACTAATCAAAGCCAAGCTGTTACTAATTTTTTTAAATAGAGTGAAGAAAACTCAGTAGGTTTCAATCCTCTGACAGTTTATGAACCAGAGATAATGAAATAAGAATAAAAAAATTACTGGCCTCAAATATTAGTTAGTCATGATGTATGTCTTTTAAATGATAATCATGATGGAGAGAAATAAATTTTGAAGGACTCCGAGTTATTAATGAACTCATTTCAAAAGCCAGAAGCAATGTAAAAAAAAATATACAAAAAGTTAAGAAGACAGTGTCTGTTGTTCATCCTTGCTGATCCTAATCAGCAGTATTTGTTTCTTCAGTTAGGCTTTTAGTCAGTTCTACCAACAGAACACACTGAATTGTGAAATGATGTTTGAATGATTTGCTGCTTCTGGACCATCACAATGTGAAGACGGTATCATTTGGGGCTGCTGACATCTATTACAAAATAACTAAACTCAGCCAAGTGGTGGTGGTGCACACCTTTAATCCCAGCACTTAGGAGGCACAGGCAGGTAGATCTCTGTGAGTTCCAGGGCAGCCTGGTCTACTGAACAAGTTCCCCAACAGCCAGAGCTGTTACACAAAAAAACCCTACCTTGAAAAATCAAAACACAAAAACCAAAACCAAACAAACAACTACAACAAAAAAAACATTAACAAACAAACAAACAAAAAACTAAACTCATTATAGAATTAACTGACAGTAATCAGTTAAATGTTCTTTAAGTCAGTGTTCTGAATATCCTGTTAGAATAAAAATTATTTTATTTAAAACTTATACTTGAGATGATATGTACATGAAATACTATTAAACTATAAAAATCAGGCTTTTTCAGCAAGTATTTTTTTAATTAATTTAGTTCTTTTTTATTTTGGGTTTTTTTTTTTTTTTTTTTTTTTTTTTTTTTTTTTTTTTTTAGTTTTTTTGAGACAGGGTTTCTCTGTGGTTTTGGAGCCTGTCCTGGAACTAGCTCTTGTAGACCAGGCTGGTCTCGAACTCACAGAGATCCGCCTGCCTCTGCCTCCCAAGTGCTGGGATTAAAGGCGTGCGCCACCACCGCCCGGCTTAATTTAGTTCTTTGAAGTTTTCTTTCATGAATGCATATAATTCATTTTGGTTACTCTCTTCTTCCATATTTTCTTCTCTCATCCTCCCTTGACAATATCTACCATTCCTTATCTGACCTTTTCCAAGATTCATGACTTTTGGTTTTATTTTGTGACCCATTTAGTTAATGAGGGCCATCTGTGTGACCTCAGGATTAGGATTTTCATTGGAGTCTGATGGGTCACAGTTCTGGGTACATAACTGAAAGCAGTGACCTTCCATTCTCTGAACCTCTCAATAGATGTCTTAGTTACTTTTCTGTTTCTGTAAAGGACATCGTAACCAAGGTGACTTGTTGAAGAAAGAATTCATTGGGGGCTTGTAGTTTCAGAGAGTGAATCCATGGTCCTCCTGGTAGGGGACATGGTAGTAGGAATTCAGGCATATTTCTGGAGTAGTAGCTGAGAGGGTGTGAATGTCTTGCTTAGGTCTGTGCATATGTACACCATTTATTCTGAGCACTTTACATGTCAGTGAGGCTCTGTATTCACCACCATTCACTGGAAAGAGAGCTTCTCTGATTGAAGCTGAGAGTATTAATTGCCAATGATATAAACATAATTTAGAGGGCAGTTGAGTGCTATGTCAATGTAGTTAATCAACAGAATTAAATTATCCTCTAGGGCCCATGAACTCCATTGCAATGCACTTTTGAGTAAGTTCAGAGTACCATCTATGAATTTCCTCTTATGGAATGGGCCTCAAATCTCAGTGTGGGTAATAGTCTTCCTAACAATCCTGATACTGTTGTACAGTGTGCATAGACTCTAGGAAAATGTTCTAGTCAGCATCATATAAATTATGAGGTAGTGAAAAGCAAACAAACAAAAAACAATGACAAAGATACCATGTCTCCCGTGAGCACTGGGAGTTGGTAAGTCACCAAAGAAGCTGCCATAGTTATCACTTTAGACTAACGTCTTCCAGTAACAGAAGGAATATGAAATAAAATAAAATTTAATGTTTAGCAATGCTCTCAAATCTATGTCTATAAACACCGTGATTAGAGGTACTTCTATGCTTGAAATTTAGTCCTTCCTATCCTTTCTAACACAGCTGCCATCTGTCACATGTGGCTTCACTGTAATTGTTAAATGCATGCAGAACTCTTTGGGGCTCCTCCGTCTTATTTTGTGTTAGCTTAGGGTAAGGGCTTACCTTCTGTATATTTCTCTTATAAGTCAGTTGAACCTTTGGGGACCACTTTGAGCCCTTCACTACCATTAAAAGCTTTATACCTATATTCATCTCTCCTGGGTTTATATGCATTATTTCCTTCCCTCTTTTAATATCTCATGTAGGATCTTAAAGACAGTTTCCTATGTTTTATTGCTTAATAGAAGTGTTTTTTTGCTTGTCTCCAGAACATTAATTAAGTAAATTGGTGCTAGAAATGTAGCTCCACTTAACAACCATTTTCTATCTCCAAACATTAAGCAATGTGTGGGCACGTAACTTGTTTTTAACTAATACATGCTGAAATCGTTTCCTAAATATATTTGTATAAGTTGTACAATCCTTTCATATTTGAATGTACTATAGTCATGAAGTACTTTCACACAAGGACCCTATAATCTTTGTAGCAGGTTTATGGATAAGCACTACCATTACTGTCCTCAGTGTCACATGACAAAGCAAAGCTTTAAAAAGGCAACAGGAAAATCATTTAGCCAAATTTTGTTTCCTGTACAATGTGATTTATTCTCTCTTAGTTGAGAAGGATTTGAAGATTCTAATACAAAAGAACATGGTCTGCTGCCTTCCCCAAAAGTACACAGTTATTCTGAGTATCATCTTTGTAACAGGAGTTATCTGGAATCTTGTCCTTTGGGATTTGGGGAAAAAATGGTATGGAAACCCTTTTAGATATGTACCAGCTACTGTTCTTTGATATATGCTATTCAAAGAGATTTTTATCTCATGTATCAGCTCTTTATAGACATTCACGCTTACACACACTGTTCAGAAAGCATTCCAACACTATTTAGTTTAACATTGTTTATTTTAAAACAAAAGTGTGGGTAATTCTATCCAATATTTGTCACTTAAGTAATAATAGACCAATGTCTAATTTCAAGTCTATACATTTTTCATATATACCTCTCATTTATCTCTGTAAATTTCCTGTTCTCTCTTTGGTCTAAGTAAAGTGAAAGAAAAGTGCTTCCCTTCTGGATGTCATGGTTTTCTTCTCAGAAGCCACCATCCTTGTATACTAACTTACTCTTTCCAGTCTAGCTTTTACCTTAGAGCTCCGCATAACTGGTCTCAAAATTAACATTGATACTTTAGCTGCAAATTTTGTATTGCTACTGTGTTCGTCTGTTTTTTTTTTTTATGGATATTTAGAGTTTGACATGTCTGCTCTAAGTAAAAAACGAAGTCACTGATAGGAAATGCCATCTTTAGTGAAATGCTTCTCTGCTGAAGTATATGTATATAGACAGACGGGTAGCTAGATAGAAGCATAGAGATAAGTATGGTTAAAGCCCAGAGTACATGAACGGCCACACACATTCTTTATTTATGTGCCTCATGTATTCATTCTGTCACTTACTGATTACTGATATGTGTCAGCTTCTGGTGTAAACTGTGGGAACATAAGCAAGATGTGCAAAATTATTCTAAAGGGTTTTGAGCATCCATTTTAGTCAAAAATAGAAATATAAATTTTAGATTTCTTTTTTGTATGAGGCATAATTTTGCTAACATTTGTTGATTTTTTATTAACATGACACATAACATTGCATATTTATAATTCAAAACAGGACTGTATTAAAAGTGTATACTGAAAGCCTGTTTTGAACAGAACAAAATTTATATTAGCTAATTATTCTTTCCTTCCATAGATAACAGTGTCTGACTTTTGTCTTTATCCTAAGTAAGTAAAACTTGAGGTATATAGATTTTAGTTTAGGAATATATGTAATTTATTAGCAAGCTCCTTTGGGAGAGATTTCATTTCATTGGAGATTATTCTAGATGTTTTAAAGATTATTTAGCTACAGTTTGCAGGTTTTAATTTTTGTCTCTAAATGAAGTTCAAATTTTTCATCTTTCAGATCTTGACAGAGCAAGTGTGTACTCAAGTTGTGCATAAACCACACCCTGAGCCAGACTCTACAGTGAAAATTCAGAACCCAAGTGAGCAGATGCCACTCTTTTCTACTGCATGGTGGTTATGTGGTCATGTACGGGACTAGATCAGAGCTTGTGGTCCTTTCAGTGTGCACATTTTATGGCAGCTGCACTCCACTGCCAGAGCTAAGCATTGAGTTGAAAATTAGTAAATGTGTTATGTCTTAGTTACCTTTTTACATTTTAATTCAGATTTTGTTTGTAGTGATTCTTAAGGTGGTGGCAACATTGTTAAAGAACTCAACACCAAGTGCAGAATTGATGGAAGTTCGTAGGTTGTTCTTATCTGACATGATCAAGCTTTTCAGTAACAGCCGTGAAAACAGAAGGTAAACAGTCTGGTTTTATATTTTCTCTGCCCTTGAGTTTGAATCATTTCCAAATAAAAAATTCAAATATTTTTAAAAATATTCTTAATCATTTTAAAAGACAATTTTATAGGCTTTTATTTGGTTGACCTAGTATATTTAATTAAATATATGTATGAAAATACAGATCCACAGATTTGTACTTGGAATATGATCAGCTATCCCTGATACTGTCACCAGTGTGCCTTTAGTACATTGTGTTGACTTTGCCCACATCCACCTGTGCTTTCCTGTCATGTCACTGATTCTTGTTATGCATTTACAGTTTCCTAGCTCAGATACGGTATGCGCAGTCAGAGTCCATGAGTTTGTGGCCATTTCCTAAGCTTCTAACAATTTTATGTATTCATGTGAAACATTGGGCCCAGGTTAGTGTAGTCGGATTAGGGTGCCTGATGAGCAAAATGAGTGCATTGCGAGTACTCATGGAGATGAGAGCATTCAGAAACAATAACCAACTCTGACCAGGAGAGTTAGAAAGTAATTTTGATTAATAATCCATATTTTCTAGGAAAGAACGAAATTGGTGGAAGTTACTGAATACATAGAATAATTTTGTGCTCAGATTATATTTTCTTTATTTTATCTACATTTCAGAGTAGTAAATTGTAATTTTCATATTCTTAATGAGCTCTTTTTCTTACTTAGATGCTTACTGCAGTGTTCAGTGTGGCAGGATTGGATGTTTTCTCTCGGCTATATCAATCCCAAAAGTTCTGAGGAACAGAAGATTACTGAGATGGTCTACAACATCTTCCGGATTCTTTTGTATCATGCAATAAAATATGAATGGGGAGGCTGGAGAGTCTGGGTGGATACACTCTCAATAGCCCATTCCAAGGTAATGGACCCAGCATGTGTTGTCGTTAAAGTTTCCACAATGGAGTAAATGGCTATTAACGCTCATCTGGTGCCACCTGGTGGCCATTCTCAGTTATGGCCCATTCCTTTATCCTAGGTTTGTCTTTGTGCTTTTCTGCCCTTTGGTGAGAGCTTGACGGTGGTTTCAAGATCATTTAATTCAAACACAAAAACACAAAGACTTAAATTAGAAATTTTGTTTTAATAACACTTAAAAGTTAAAGTGTGTGTGTGTGTGTGTGATCCTACTGGAAGTCAGGATGATTAATGAGAGCCGGTTCTTTCCTTCCACTCTCTGGGTTCAGGGATTGTTGGCAAGCATCTTTCCCTGATGAGCCATCTCACTGTCCTCTTAATTGACAATTTTTACTGTATATATTTGTAGCAGATGTGAGAACCTGAGTCTGAATCAGTTTTTTTTAAACTAAACCATACTCAAATCTTACAAGCATAGTTATGAAATAGTAGCTGAAATGTACTTCTATAATATTTTTAAAGTAATCAGATTCATTATCAAGTGAATAATAAATACTTGCCAATAATAAATAATAAATGGGACTTGGCTGAGTGAATAAAGTACTTTCTGTATAAGCATGTGGACCTGAATTTGAATTCCCTTCATCCACATAACAGACTAGGCATGGCTGGACAGACTTTACCACCGGTGCTGGCGAGCATGATAGGAAATCCCAAGGGCTCTCTGGCTATCTCTAGGCCAAGTCATGTATTCCTGTTCAGTAAAAAATGCTGTCTCAAAAAAATGAGGTGCCACTAGTGATTGAGGAAGACATCTCAGCGTCAGTGCCTTCTGAATGTACCCACCTTCCACATATACATTTAGTTTTTTCCATATTAGGCAATCCTGGCCTCAAACTCACAAAGGTCTCTCTGTTTCTGCCACCTTAGTGTTGAGATTAAAGGTATGCACTTTTAATAATATTTTTAATTATAGTGTTGTAGTCAGTGTTCTATTGCTGTGAAAAAGAGAGACACCATGACTGAGGTAATGCTTATAAAAGAAAACATTAAACTGGGGCTTGCCTTGCTTGCATTTTCAGAGGTAAGTCCATTATTGTCATTGCAGGAAGCATTATGGCAGGCAGGCATGGTGCAGGAGAAATAGCTGAGACCTACTTCCTGATCCACAAACAGTAGGTAGGGGGCCTAATACGGACTTTTGGGGATGCTGGAGAGATGGCTCAGAGATCCTGAGTTCAGTTCCTGGCAACCATGTGATGGCTCACAACCATCTATAATGAGATCTGATGCCTTCTTCTGGCAGGCAAGGATACATGCGGGCAGAACACTATATACATAATAAAGAAATAAATCTTAAAAAATTTTAATATGGACTTTTGAAACCTCAAAACCCACCCCCCAGTGACACATTTTCTCCAACAAAGCCACACTTACTCCATAAAGTCCACACCTCCTGATTCTTCTCATCCTTCTCAAATAATACCACTTCCTGATGACTAAACATTCAAATATATGGGCCTAGAGAGACCATTACTGTCCTTACTGTTCAAACCGCTATATATGTTATCTTCCAATATTTTTTAATTCTAAGATTCTACCTCTCCCTATTAAACTTTGAATAGTACTTGTTTTTGGTAAGGAGAGTACTTCATTTATGCACACATTATATTCTAGTAATTCAAAGTTGTGATTCTTCAACTGTAAGTAGCATCACAGAGGAAATGTGGACATCCAAAATTAGGCAACTAATCCATTTATGTTACAATTAAGTTTTGTGGTTTAGAAAACTCATAATTTGTCCCTTCCCCCTTTTTTTGAAACAGGGTTTCTCTGTGGCCTTTTATTTTATTTTTAGATTTATTTAATGTGTATGAATATTTTTCACACATATGTCTGGGGACCACATGGGTTTCTGGTACTTGATGTCAGGAAGAGGGTATCAGATCCCTTGGAACTGGGGTTATGGACATTTGTAAGCTGTCATGTGAGTGCTGAGAATCAGACCTGGAACCTCTGCAAAATCATAAGTGCTTTTAACCACTGAGCGTTTCTTTAGCTCTCTCCATAACTTTGGAGCCTGTCCTGGAACTAGCTCTTGGAGACCAGGCTAGCCTTGAACTCACAGAGATCTGCCCACCTCTGCCTCCTGAGAGCTGGGATTAAAGGCATACATCACCATGTCCTGGCTGCATATAGTTATTTTTAACAGGAATTAGAAAAATGATTCTAGAGACCAAATAATATATGTTTGGGGGTTTCTGCCTCTGATGAAACTGCTCAACTCATCTGTTTATTGTGAAAACAGACAAAGAAAACAAGAACATCAGTTAGCATGATTGTATTATAATAAAATTTTACTAATCAAAATAGATGACAAACTGATGTGGCCTTTGAGAAACAGGTTGCCATTTCCCGTGATCGGGGAGTTTCTTTTGTAGGAAATGGGTTTTATACCAAAAAATAAGGTCAACCAAAACCCCTCTTAATCCACAGGTTAATATAATTTTGTGTGCCTATAAGGAAAGATTTTTTTTTTTTTTTTTTTTTTTTTTTTTTTTTTTTTTTTTGGTTTTTCGAGACAGGGTTTCTCTGTAGCTTTGGTTCCTGTCCTGGAACTAGCTCTTGTAGACCAGGCTGGCCTCGAACTCCCAGAGATCCACCTGCCTCTGCCTCCCGAGTGCTGGGATTAAAGGCATTTGCCACCACCGCCTGGCTTAAGGAAAGATTTTTAACATTATAAGAATTCATAATACCTAGTGTAGTCCTATATTTTGCACATGCACACATTGAATTTGTCATTGCTTTAATAAGTTTTAATGTAACAAAGAAAAAGGCATTGCAATTCATGCACAGCGTATCCTGATATTTCTAATCTAGTTACTTCTATATATAAATGTCTGTTTACAGGCTCATACGAGCAACTTTCAGTCATGGTTGTGATGGGTGAAAATATTACAGTAGCCACGTGAAAGCTGGCATAGTAATAGAAGTTGTCATATTGGATATTATCTTCTGCCAAGTCATTAAGCCTAATCAGTGTCCATAAGTTAGATATCATATGATGTTGGTTAACATTGAATACTTAACCTGTGCAAAAGAACCTTAGTATTGCAGATACCTATGTGATTAGAAACATGTCAGGTAATAATGTATTGTTGTATTTTATAATGTTTCCAATTACATGATAAATCCAATTATTTAATAAAACTAAATCTTAAAATACTGTTACCATTTTTGTTATTATTACTGAATTTTGTTGGTCTTATTTCTATCTTTCTCTTGTAATATACATGACACCTCAGTTTTTTCTTTACTTATTTCCTAGGTTACTTATGAAGCACACAAAGAATACCTGGCCAAAATGTATGAGGAGTATCAACGACAAGAGGAGGAGAACATTAAGAAGGGAAAGAAAGGAAATGTGAGCACCATCTCTGGTCTTTCATCACAGACAACGGGAGCAAAAGGAGGAATGGAAATCCGTGAGATAGAAGACCTTTCCCAAAGCCAGAGCCCAGAGAGTGAGACAGACTACCCAGTTAGCACAGATACACGAGACTTGCTCATGTCAACCAAAGTATCAGATGATATTCTTGGAAGTTCAGACAGACCTGGTAGTGGAGTGCACGTGGAAGTGCATGATCTTCTGGTTGATATAAAAGCAGAGAAAGTAGAAGCGACAGAAGTAAAGCTTGATGATATGGATTTATCACCAGAGACGTTGGTGGGTGGAGAGAATGGTGCCCTCGTGGAAGTGGAGTCCTTGTTGGATAATGTGTATAGTGCTGCTGTTGAGAAACTCCAGAACAATGTGCATGGAAGTGTTGGTATCATTAAAAAAAATGAAGAGAAGGACAATGGTCCGTTGATCACACTAGCAGATGAGAAAGAGGACCTTTCTAACAGTAGCACATCCTTCCTCTTTGATAAAATACCCAAACAGGAAGAGAAACTACTTCCAGAACTTTCTAGCAATCATATCATCCCAAATATTCAAGACACCCAAGTACATCTTGGTGTCAGTGATGATCTTGGATTGCTTGCTCACATGACTGCAAATGTAGACTTAACTTGCACATCAAGCATAATAGAAGAGAAAGACTTCAGAATTCATACGACTTCAGATGGAGTGAGCAGTGTCTCTGAAAGAGACTTAGCTTCATCAGTAAAGGGGTTGGACTATGCTGAAATGACTGCCACAACTCTGGAAACAGAGTCTTCCAACAGCAAAATTGTACCTAATATTGATGCAGGGAGTATAATTTCAGACACTGAGCGATCTGATGATGGCAAGGAATCAGGAAAGGAAATCCGAAAAATCCAGACTACTACAACAACACAAGTAAGCCGCCCCATGTGAATTGCAGAAGTAAACATAATGTCAGATGGGCATTGAGTTGGTCGCTAAAGTGGTTTCCTAGAGTGACACTACACTTAAATCCATGTAATGTGTAACTTACAGAACTGACTGCTGTGGCATGTACATATGAAGTTCAAATGATATGATTTATACTCCCAGTTCTGCCTTGTATCTCTAATTTTGCTCAACCTCTTTGGGGCTCAAATTCTTCTGTCATATAAGACATTGTAGTAGATTAAAATATGACCATTAAGGTCTTCTCATTTTTACAGTTTATAACTACATTTCCACCTTTGTACTTGAGATCTTCATTCTAACCTTGTGCTCAAGGCAAGCCCTGTTCTGGGGAGTGTAGAAAAGGGGACTTTCAGCCAGCTTGTACAGATGCATGAACAGTAGGGGAAGGGGCTGTTATCTGTTCATGCCTACTGTGCTCCAGACACTGGTAGATGTTTCCCGATTCAGTCCTTACAACAGCCTGTTAGGTAGGTAATATAGCCAAGAAAATCTGGGATTATTAGCAATGAGAACTTTCTTTACAGAATAGATAGAATTTGTTATTTTTTTTTTTAAATAAGCTGCTTGGGCCTGTGGTTAGCAAATGTTAGTGCTGTGGTTTTGGACAATCTGCAGTAAAGTGTCTTCTGAGACAAACTTGAGTTGTTACGACTTACGTTTTGGAATAAACTGATACTATATGGTTAAAAGTTGATGAGATTATAATGACACTCAAAGATTTCAGTTTTGTTGGCTCTCTGGACTTTCTTTCTGTCTTTTGATTTAATTGAAGGTAAGTTTATGTTTCCATTCCACCTGTATTGGAAAGAATAAACCATGTTTCACTATTGTCTTAGTACTTCAGTAAGAATATGATGATATATTGTGTATGTGGGAAAGGTGTGTTTATTTTTTGTTTGTTAATTTCTGTTTTGGTAACAGTTGTACTAAAGTGTTAATTGGCAGGGAGAGAGAATATTGAATAAGGTAAGATTTCAAATAAAAGAAAAACAGATCATTGCTTACTGGGCATAATAACCACTAGGGTTGCCCGTTTTTCTTTGAGAATGCACACATGTTTTTCTGCAGTATCAAAGCAGAATTTCCAATAGCAGGCTTCAGATGAATTGAAAGAACTTCTGTGCAGGTGTTTGAAATGCCCTCACCACTAAAATCACATGTACTCTCCTATTCACTATTGCACACACTGGTTTTTGAATCTCACATCTCTCTTGTGCTCTACAAAAGTTTACCCTCTCTTTATTTAGGCTGTTCAGGGCCGGTCTGTTACCCAACAAGACCGAGATCTCAGAGTTGATTTAGGATTTCGAGGAATGCCAATGACCGAGGAACAGCGGCGCCAGTTCAGCCCTGGCCCCCGGACTACCATGTTCCGGATCCCGGAGTTTAAGTGGTCTCCAATGCACCAGCGGCTTCTCACTGACTTGTTGTTTGCGTTAGAGACAGATGTGCATGTGTGGAGAAGGTACAACTCTTTTCTGTATTTTTTTACCTTCAGTTGAGAAAATGAAATTTATTTTACGTATGTGTGTTTGTGTGTGTTTGCTGTTTATCTATGCCTGTGTGCGATGTCCATGGCCTACTGAGGTCAAAGGAGGGTGTTGACTAGAACTGTAGTTATAGATGGTTGTAAGCCAGCATATGGGTGCTGAGAAGAACCCAGAACAGAGCCAACTTCCCAGCCCAAGATAATAAATATTTTATTAAATGATTTAGTAATCCAATAATATTCACAATTTAAATTTGTTTTAAAATTCAATAAGTTTGATAGACAAATATTTATATAAAGTATTGTTTTTATAATGTTTGGAGCATCTACCTCTAGATATGTAACAATTTAGCTTTAGACAGAATTGAAACAGAATTTGAAAATTTGGCTCATTCTACACAAAAAAGAATTAAAGACCAACTTTGGTTTATACTTCTGTAAAAGTTTCTTGTTAAACTCAATACTGTGAGCTCTGTTATCATTTAGTAACAGCAATACAATAATGCTTAGTACTAGAATAAAATCTTAAAGTAACCTGTAACATGTATATCATTAGAATCTATATGTATAGGCAGTTAGTGGATGTTGTTTTAAATCTGTCTGAATTAAATATCTGCTTTTTATAAAAAGTTTCAATTCAGGTTTCTAATAACAGATTCACATTTCTTAATCAGGGTGTATGTCATTCACATGTGCAAGCATGTAAGTTTTGGAAGTTGATGTCTGTAAGCAGCAAAACAACTCATCTTCAGCAGAGATTTGGTCCACTTTATCATGTCCTCAGACTGAAACTGGCATCTGTACCTCTCTTGGTTTTCCTTTAGGATAAAGGTTTTCTCTGTTAAAAGGCAGACTTTCCTTCATTTCTCCATTTTCTCATTCTTTTCCTTCTCCCTATGCTATTTTTCTTTCTTTTCATAAACATTTTTTCTATTGAATGAAGCCCCTTAAGAATTTTTTTTCGTATTGTTATCAGGGTTGTACATTCATTTGGAAAACACCCTTAAAAAGAAAATGGGATTGGTGAATCAATTCTGACTAACAGTTCAGTACCTGGGGAGGCCAACTATCTGTGGAACAAAACCTGGCCTGTTATTGTGGGGAACATGACGTAATGTTGGGAAGTTGTCACTGTATCTGCCAAGGGAGTTTCTGTGTTTGATGTGCTCACTCTGTTCATAAGCTAGCCCTAGACACATGCTAATGTTGTGACGTGCTCTGAGCCTCGAGATGAAAGGCCTGCGTGCACATGGAGGTCGGTATGTGAGGTAACCAGTGTGACCCGCCTAGTTTCCTTCCAACAACACACTGGGTGTCTTTGCTTTTGTACTGATGCTCATGAAAGTTTCTAAACATAAGTATATACAAATTTTTTAAAAAGATTCTTTTTAGGTAGAGGAGAATATCTAATTGCAGTAAAACAGTGTTTCTTTGGCACCTTCATTGCATGTTTATGTGGAAAATCCTGCTGCTGCCTTCTTCTGTGACCTTCCTTTTCATTTGCAATAATTCCTGATGCTACGCTCCCCATGTTTCCTCATGGCAGTAAGGAAAGCTGGGCTCAGAACCCCAGCTGCAACTTTCGCTCTGAAGGCTGTCAACTAGTTTGCTTCCTAATACAGGATCAGCAGATACAACCAATCTAGTTAAATTCATGGGGCTACTCAGATGTCTTAGAAGCTACTTAGTAATTAGAAATGCGAGATCGAGGATTATTATCCCATGCTACCTGTGTAGTAAGTTTAGGTTTTAGAGTACTGATGTCCGTTCTTAAACAAACCAAGAAAGAACAACAAGAATATTATATTTCTTTAATGTATACGGACACAAAGAACTGTGCAGAAATATTTTGGTAAAATATCTGAATTACAAGTTGTTATTGTTCTAATAATTAAGTTTTAAATTTGTCTACAGCATCTATATTTTGTAACTGTTTTTACTTCAAAATTTTCATTCTATTCAGAATACTTTAGATACTTTATTCTAAGTATCTAAATCTCTTACATTTACTTAAAGAAAATAATTGGGTTTTCTCTATTTCAGCCATTCTACAAAGTCTGTAATGGATTTTGTCAACAGCAATGAAAACATTATTTTTGTACATAACACAATTCACCTCATTTCCCAAATGGTAGACAACATCATCATTGCCTGTGGAGGAATTTTACCTTTGCTCTCAGCAGCTACATCACCAACTGTAAGTTCTTTATCGCCACCTAGTGGTTATGTTTTGTAATGGCATGAATTGAGGATTCCAGAAATTTCAGACACAGGAAAAAGGCAGATTTTAAATAGTAACAACAGGAACTCTTAAACCACTTATTAGATTTCTATTCCAGTCTCTTTTATTTGACAGTGCTTGAGTTTTCCTGTGAATATTTATTAGAAATCATTCCATCGTTTCTGATGAAATCTTTTAAGAACTACAATTATAAACATTTTCAAACTTTTATATGCTGTGTATCTCTTTAAATCTTTGTAGTAAGCTGTTAAAATCTATTTGTAGTACAATATGACCTTATTTGCCAATTTGCCATTAAAAATACTATTTTTTCTTTATAAAACATTGAAAAATACTAATATATTTAATTTGGAAAATATTTAATGTTGATCATATATGTCTTTTAAAAATGCAACAGACCAATATTAAGTTATATGTAATTTTCATCTTATATATATATCTTTAGTTATGAGCTAGTGTGTATGTAGCTGAGTGGCAGTACTCCTTTCTAGCATATGTGAGTATTTGGTTTGATTCCCAGAGTCAAATTTTTTTTTAAAGATATCTTTGATTTCTGTCAAAATGACTCCATTTAAGTGTAACTTGATTAGATGGGAAAGAATATAGAATTTCACTTGCCATGTGACCATCTTGCTGCTTCTCATAAGAAACTCTTTTGTAAACCCTCGAACACACCTTTGCCACAGAATACCGTGATTTATTAACACATATGTTGCTTACTGAGGAATGCTTCCAAACTGATCCAGACTTTATTTTGTCAGTAACATGATTTTCCTACATGGTTCTTTTTCTCATTCTGTCCACTGGAATGGCATAGAAATTAAAATATTATCTGCAACAGACTGTAACCTCTCATACCTCCCCCTGGCTCACATATATGTGTTCCTGATGAATTCAACCAGCAAGTTACAGGCAAGCAGGCTAATTTGGGAGCAGTGCAAAAGGACATATGAGTGGTGGTATACATCTTTAATTCCAGCACTCAGTAGGCAGAGGCAGTAAGATCTCTGTGAGTTTGAAGGCAGCCTGGTCTACAAGAGCTAGTTCCAGGGCAGACTCCAAAGCTAGAGAGAAACCCTGTCTTGAAAAAACAAAACAAAAAGAAAGATAGCTAGGTAAAAGTACTAAATTTTAAAATTTATAGGTAGGCTTTTTAAAAATACTTTATGCTAAAAATGTATAAGTATCTAGTATATGTGATATAAAATTTGTATACAGTTATGATGAGAAAATGAAAAATCTTATGTTAATGAGCTTTTGGAACAAGGAATTACATAATGATATGTATGTTTGAAAACCACCACTCCCTGGCTCATCTAGTTATCTTGTTGCTTATTATAATAAATTGAATTGTTTAAAATAAAAAAATATATTTTAACAACCAAAAAAAAAGGATTTTGAGGACCATCTATTAAGTATATCTGATTTTATACAAACTTCCTTTGTGCTTACTTCTCTATATAAAAGCATGTATGGAAGACTACAGCTTGTTTTTGTAATTGAATTACATGTGTGCTGAACTTGACGGCAAACATTGTTTTGAGCAAATGGAATAATTAAATCATCGATAAGGTGGGGGAAAAAAGACATATGAGCAATGGAGTCTTGTGGAATTACTTAGTAATCAAACCAAGGAAGTGACCCGGGAATAACATTACAAAGAGTTAGTGATATGTGAAGAAGGCTGGTGCCTAGCATTTATCTGTCATCTCTTCTGTCCCATCTCAACTTTCCTTTAGTGATGTAAACCAAATTCTGGTAATCTGCATTCTTATGTCAAGACAGGAAGGGTGCTTCTTTTTCTATACTTCAAAGACTAAATACAATGCTTTCTGTGTGGAAGCATATAAATTTTCATTCAGAAAATTTTAGAGACTGTATTTACTTTAATATAAACATAGAATGTTTTTACACTTTATGCAGAACAGAAATGATCATTCTATAAAATAACTTAGTAATAAGCTATTAAAATTTGCAGATGTTTGAAATACACACATTACTAAGAATCTTCAAATTTTTAATGTCATATTTCTATTAATAGAGTAGTAGATAAATGCAGTATAGCTGGTTTAACACTATAAATGTTTTATAAATACTTTGTAAAATAAAAATATTTCAATTATAACACATATTTTCATATAAATTTTAAGTATATGTATATATAACTTTAAAAATAAACATCTTTATTTGTTCTCATACTTTCTGTATAGTGTGTAAATGTGAAGGATATTATTTTCTTTTAGTGTTACTGGATTGTTTAGTGTTCTTGCTATGTAGTGGGAAAAAGAGCAGGAGCATGAATAAAGAATGAAACATGCACTGGAAGTATGGGCTTTTCAGCTCAAAACTACCAAGTACAAAACCTCAAGTGTTCTGGAACAGGTGAGAGGGAGGAGACTAGGTTGCTCTGATTTACCAAAGGCGCTGTCATATAAGAACGTCAGCTTGAGATGCATGGAGCAGAAACACTCGACACTGCTGTCTTCCTGTCCTTGGAAGTTTAATGATGCATGTATCTTTTTCAGATTTTCATGTCCGGGAAGCTTTCCATTTGTTAATACCTGGGAGTAGTGATCGCTTTGACAGTAGTAGCTGCAAGCTTTTTCTCTGTGGAGCTAGACAGTAAATACTTTAGGTCATTTAGCCATCTGCTGTTGGGAGAACAGGAGTAGAACAGGTTTATCATGAGCTGTATGGTATAAGACACTGATATTGCATATGCTGTACATAAAATAAGAATAGCACAGGGATGTGTAAAAAAACCTTGTTATTATAGAACAGTCAAAAGTTAGGTAAATTCATTCTTTATAAAATAAGAATTTGAATTTGGCTCAATGACTACTAAGTATGATAAACCATATTTTAACAAATACAGTTATCTCTTAGAAGATACACATCTTATTTTTGCTAACTTTGTCATCAGAATCTTTAATGTACAACTATATTAAACTTTAAAAGATAACTAGAAGGAGAATGCAAAATATTTTTGTAGTACCCTATTTAAAAAATAACCTGAAACTTAAACCCAGAAGTGAGCATTTGCCATTTCTCAAGATAAGTGCTGTACTCCGTTGATGGGCAGCTGGGGGAGGAGGGGGACAGATTTTTTTTTTTTCAGTGAGACTCAGATACAAATTTTTGTGAAGTTTGGATTAAATGAAAATGTGTGAACCCCAGTATGAGATTGATCTTTGTTTCAGTATTGCTCTATCATTTAATGGGCATGGCCTCGACTTTGGTTTCATTGGCTAACGAATCAAATTTGGTAATAGATGCGGCATATATGAATATAAGAGATGAGGAAGCCTCTCAGAACTTTCTTGAATTCCTTCAGGAACTCCCTTCTTTACATGTTTGTCTGGTCGAATAATCATCCCAGTTTATTTTAAAAGCCTTTCATTTGTAATGTTTGAGATAATAGAGTTATTATAGATAATCTATTTTGATACCAAAATATTCAACCAAAACCACTTTTTGTTTGTTTGCTATTCATAGGGCCATTTGAAGTGGTCTGTCTCCTCCCTGAAACCATAAATGAACACAATACACTGTGTGTTGTAGGAAAAAGCATTTCTGAGTTGTTCTTACAGTGTCATTGTTCTGGAAGAAGTCTTACCTGTAAAGGAGATGGTTTAATGTACGCGTTAAGAAGGCTAGAAATGCACGTGGCTTATATTATAGTAGACAATCTAAAAAAAGCAGTATTATATTGGGGTTTTGGATACCTATGTTATTTAAAACTGTATGTTACAGTAAATAGCTCACAAAATATTTTAAATAGAAATAAGCCAGTAGTTTTAAAAAATTAAGACCCTTGGCCCAGTATGATGCTGCATGCCTTCATTTTCAGCACAGGGAAAGCAAAAGCAGATGTCAGAGTTATTTGTGAGTTTGAGGCCACTCTGGTCTACATAGTAATTTCCAGGATACCACGGGTACATAGTGAGACTCTGTAAATAAACAACAAACAAATAAAATTGAACCACTTACTATGCAGTTTGATCAGTGTTTGCTTAAGGGATATTTTATTGAGTTAAGTTTTCTAGGACTAGTCAGTTGAATTATTTATGTCCTACCACACTTAGGAATGAAGGTAGAGAATTGGAAAGAAACATTGAAAAGAAAACAACATCGTTAGTCATATATTCCTTCACGGTTTGTTGTTATTACTCAAGATTTTATTTCCTTTTTGGTTTTTTGAGATAGGGTTTCTCTGTATAGCCCTGGAACTCACTCTGTAGACCAGGCTGGCCTCAAACTCACAGAGATCAAACCACTGCTTCCCAAGTGCTGGGGATTAAAGGCATGTGCCATCACTTCCCAGTGACCAACGCCCCTGCCAACAATCACTCAAAATTTTCAGTTACCATTTAAGGGGATCCTCAGAGCACAGTGTCAAATATGGTTTAATGTCTTTTCTTGTCCCAGGAAAATAATAAAACCTAACATTTCTGGTTCTTCAAATAATTGTAACATCATATAAAAGGAAAGCAACCTTATCTTCTGTGTCAAGCATGATGGCAGTCTTAATTATAGACATTTATTAATAGTATATGGGGTTGGAAAACATGAGACTCGACAATAAAGCTATTGGTAGTTCAGGATTCTTTTATATATTTTCCCAGTGAATACACCATGAAAATGGCATGTTTTCAAATTTATATTTACATTTATTGTAAAAATTCAAAAGAATTGAATTTTGTAGCTTTGTGGGAATAGGGGAAGTCTATAATGTTTTTATTATATAAACTTGATTCTTAATAATGTCCTAAATTTAGGTAGTATGCAGCTACCTAAGCTCATATGATAGGTATTCTATAGTTTTATCAGTGAGTTATTTTCTGACACAGAAAGTGAATTTTAAGTTGTGCTGGAATAAATACTTTAGTTTTGTATAGGAAGGGCTGTGACTATTTGGGAAAATTAATATGATTCCCTTATAGATAAAGTTCTGATAGTTGGTATAAGAAATGCATTAATCTCCCTGAGTCATTTCTGCTCAAGTCCCAACTAAGTTAGGTTTGAGCAGGGTCATGCTTTGTTCATTCTAAAATATTTCAGTATCCATCCATGAGACACTTGTTATGTAAAATGAATTTGCATTCTTTCTCCTATATTTGCTATACTCACATGTATATTTGGGGGCAGTTATTCAAACAAAAATAAATTTAAATTTAAATGTTTCATAGTTAATCTTAATTATAGTTATGTACTTTATAAAATGGATATTCTGAGAATTTTGTTTTTAATAAAATAATCAACTATAATTTTAAAATGTTATTTTGTGTTTCAATTTTACATATATTTTTATTTAATTTTAATAATTTCCTTTTTTCTTGTATTTTTTTGGTCTGTTGTCTGTTTTGTCTAATGCATGTCCAGGGTTCTAAGGTTAGTATTACTTTTGCAGTAATTTTTAGGTTTTTTAGTTTTAAATTTTATTTTTAATTGTGAAAATTTTAATTGGTTATATTTTGAGTTTTCATATCATCATTTAATCAGACATATCTTTGTGTATTTTAAAAATTTATAAGAAGGATTATTTTTTCCTTTGTAAACCAATGTATTTGTTTTATTAATAACAACAATAAATATAATATAATGAAAACAATGTAAATAGAGTCTTGTGTGCAGATTTAAATTCCAATTATAGGAAATTGGATGAGATATATATTTAGATTTATTAAGAATTATATTAAATGCATTTTAACATAGGATGCTTATATACCATGTAAGTAATTATTAACAGAATGGGATAAGAATTATTTTATAAGCTATTACTCATGTTAAGAAAACATTTTACTTTTAATTTTGATATTTTGGTAGAATATTTGGTATAGTAGAATATTTGGTATAATTTGTCAGATTATATAGACAATTGAACAATTATGTAGTAATATTTGTTTCTTATTCACTATTAACATTAGAGTATATTTCACTGGTTAGATTTGTAGATTCCAAATGGAAAATAAAGCAGTAATACAGTGAGGTAGGACTCTCAACATTTCAACAATTTAAAATAATGAAGAATTTAAGAACATCTCTGCAGATACACTGAATTTATTGACGAGTATTAAGAATTTTTTGACTGATCTAATCGATGGCCAGTGTTTCATCCTAGAATAATTGAAAGTAGTCTTAAAATGGATTATTTTCTTATAACTGTTAAGCTGTGGTCACAGCTTAATTTCATGCTTTGTCAGGAACAAAATACAAATAGTTAAGAACCTGCATTTCCAAAGACAGTGTGAAAACAGTCAGGAATCTAGTTCATCCATGCACCATGAGCTTGACTTTTGGCTAAAGTCATTGGTTAAAGATGAGATCGGTCAGTATAGATAGTGTGTGTATTTTGAGAATCTTTGTGCAGCACTTTTATTTACAAAGTATCTCTTTTCCTTGCTCCTTCTGACACTAAGAAAATTCTAGTTATAAGAAAATAAAAATAATTATAGTGTTCTTAATACAGAATGAAAATAAAGAAATGATGCAATTGCTCATAACTTACAGAGTTACACATTCTTTTTTTTTTTATTTTTTTGGTTTTTCGAGACAGGGTTTCTCTGTGGTTTTGGAGCCTGTCCTGGAACTAGCTCTTGTAGACCAGGCTGGTCTCGAACTCACAGAGATCTGCCTGCCTCTGCCTCCCAAGTGCTGGGATTAAAGGCATGCGCCACCACCGCCCGGCCCAGATTTACACATTCTAAGAAACAAAATAAATTTTAATATTTCTTCTGAAAGTTAAGAAATAGCAATTTTTTCACAGGGAATATTTTAGTTAAGCTAAAGTCTAACGTTCAGCTTAACAGTGCGCCTTCCTCCTTCTACAGTGAGGGTTTCATAGCTTATCAGTGAGGAATCTAAAGGATTGATTCTTTTGATCATATCAACTTTAGTCTTATTGGATACATAAAATCCTTAGTGTTTCAGAACAGATGTCATTAGTATGTTTTATAGTTTGAAAGTCATCTCATTTGCTACCAAAGAAAATTGCTGTGTATCCTTCCCGTTATTCACTATGTCTGTAAGAAAGGAAAACACATCCATTTGTAAATGGAGATGACTATTTTAGAAAATAAAGGTCACTTTTATACCTCTTTTATAGTAAAACAAGAATAAGAAGATAAGTGTGTTTGTCTCTAAATATCTTTGTGAAATTATATGAAGTCTTATTCAACTAATACAGTATTTTAAACTAATACATTTTAAAAATGGGCTTTTTGTTTAAGAATAGTGGGTTAGGAAATAAAATTTGTCAAGATCTTGTGATAGGTAGTATTAATTTATTCTTTATTTTCTTACTTAAGCTTTTCAAACTTTTTCACCTGTACTATATGTAACATGTACCATTTTTTCCCCAATTTGAAACAAGATTAACTCTCCTTTTTTAAAGACTGAACTGGAAAACATTGAAGTGACACAAGGCATGTCAGCAGAGACAGCAGTGACGTTCCTCAGCCGCCTCATGGCTATGGTTGATGTCCTCGTGTTTGCCAGCTCTCTAAATTTTAGTGAGATTGAAGCCGAAAAAAACATGTCTTCTGGAGGGTTAATGAGACAGTGCCTAAGGCTAGGTAAGTAAGCCAAGGCAATGGTCCACACTGTGTAATTAAGATGACTTGTGCCCCTCTGAGGTAGAGAAAGCACTGATTCAGGTTGTGAACCTGCATCTTAGTAATCCTCAGGATTACTCAGTTTTAAAACCTTGTGTCTTCCCAGTGAAGACTGCATGGGATCATTTATTGCCTCAAATATAGTCAAACATATTTAGAATTATTTAGAAATCAGTAAAACTGGTACTTATCATTGAAGTGATTTTAATGAAGATTTGAGAACCTTGTTTATGTCCTTGGCCTGCAAACAGCTGAGGATATGGTGTATAGCAGAGCCCTGATTGAGAATGGGAGAGGCATGAGTCCAATGGCCAGTATTATTTACCAAAGAAAGGGAGGAAGGAAGTGAGAGAAATGGTAGCCCCAAATCTGTAAGTTTCCTGTAATAATGATTCCTTGTTATTGACAAGGAGTGCAAACTTCCTGCTGTGCAAATAGCTCTTCTGGCGGAGGGGATGCTGCCTGAAATAGAAAGGTGTGCTGTGAGTCATCAAGATAGGTGAAGTAAGGGCAGAGCCTTATTGCTAAACATTTTTAAAGTGTGGATGTATGATTTGTATAGCATATGTATATATGTATGTTTATATATGTGAGCGTGCCTACCAATGCATGTATATGTAAAACTTAGAAGATGATGTCCAGTATCCTCTCTATTATTTCCCACTTAATCCTTTGATATAGTGTCTCTCACTGCACCTGGAGCTACGGTGTCCTTTTATATTACTGGGGTTACAAGTACGAGTGATGATAACTACCTTTTATATAGGTTCAAAGGATTTGTCCTCAGGTACCCATGTCTGTATAGCAAATGCTCTTACCCACTGATCTCCGCAACATCCTTCAGCATTTTTAAGTTGCAAAAAATTTTACTGATACAGAATATTTGTAATAGTGACTGATAGAGGATTATAGAGTTAGGAAGACTTATTTTTGGAGTTTGAAGGGTCATGGTGATCTGTTTTTTTTTTTCTTTTTTTTTTTTGAACCAGGAGTACTTGAGTATTTTATTTAATATATATTCTTTATGTATTGTACCTTCATTATTATATTTCATAATTTAAATTTATCTAATTATCTGTGGCAGAAAAGTAAATATAAAGAAAAGAAAGTAGGGCTGGAGAGATGGCTCAGAGGTTAAGAGCACTGGCTGCTCTTCCAGAGGTCCTGAGTTTAATTCCCAGCAACCACATGGTGGCTCACAACCATCCGTAAGGAGATCTGGTGCCCTCTTCTGGGCTGCAGGGATACATGCTGGCAGAACACTGCATACATAATAAATAAATAAATAAATAAATAATTTAATAAAAAAAAGAAAAGAAAGTAAAATTCAAAACATTTTTCTATATAGCAATGTCAACAATTTATGTTAATACCTTTCTGGTTTCTTAGTTTGTTGTGTAGCTGTGAGAAACTGCTTAGAATGCCGACAGAGACAGAGAGACAGGGGAAGCAAATCTTCCCATGGAAGCAGTAAACCTCAGGAAGCTCCCCAAAGTGTGACTGCCACAGCAGCATCCAAGGTAATCAACCATTTCCTCTGTAATATGCTGTCCTTTTTATTTGTGAGAACAGTGCATTTTGATGTAGAAAATGGCATAGGCTTGATGACCTGGTGCTGGCTTCTCTGCTTCTTGGTTGTATCTGCAAAGTTAGCCAACCTCCTAAGATTTTCACTTGTATGTAATTAAAGAAGATACTAGTAATTTCTACTGATAGGGTTCTTAAAAATTGCATTGGCACATAGCACTGAAGATTTCTGCTTTAAATAGTTACATCTATTTTCAGAGGTCAGTCTATGAGCAAAGAACATTTTTAAATCAAATGATATAGTATATAGTATATCATTTGTCCATCAAATGATATAGTATATAGTAGTTTGAAATATACTGGCAATACTTAATTACAAATTAATTCTCTTCTTGTGTTTAACTGACACGTGACATCACGTGCACACTCCTGACTTTGAAGGTTTGTATGATTGCTCAGTACCTTTTCTTGGTTGTGAACTTTCATACATATAGACCTCATCAACTCATCTAAAGATTTTGACTTCTTAAACGTCTATATAATTTCCTTATCTTGAATTATGTTTCCTTCCGTTTTACATATCTTAAATGTATTCATTTAGGTCATCTTATGTGCTGCTTTCTCAGGACAAAGTTTTTTCATACCATTGTTGTCCCTCATCTAGAGACAATTCCTTTAGTTTCAATAAAACCAACATGTCTTTTTATCACTCACTGCACTTGTAATTAAATGTTCAGTAACTTTTTGCTCAACAATTGAAGACATAACATAGAAACTTCATCAGTTTTCTAAGTTTCACGGCTCTGTATTGCTATAGTTTCTGCTAAGCCAACTGCACATGCATAAAGTCTATTAGTTATTTACAGTGTTACAGCATCTTTTCCTGTTCACTGCTGTCATAGAAATATGACCCACATATTATTTTACTGCTGACAAGATCCCATAGTGATCTGCATTGCTTGAGAAATATTACTGTGTCAGCAGTCTGGCTCATAATCACTGCATAGATATTAAAGGGCTAGTTACTAGAGGGTGGTGACCATATCTTGTACATCTCTGTGCCTTCAGAGCATTTGTGGTACTGTAGGTTGTAAAGAAATGTTTTTGAAGTGTATTCTGGCTTCTGCTACTTAGCATAGAAGATTCTGAGACAAATTTTCTTGTCTTCCATATCTTAATTATCTAGTATCTTAAAGTGAATGAGAATCTTAACTTAAATGAAGATTGTTTAATTAAAATGGAAAAAGATTGTATTAAAGTACATAGAGGTTCCTGGGGTTGGTGAACATTCGGGTGTTACTGATGCTCCTTGCTTCTCTTAACACTCGAAGAGTGTAACTAGTCAATTGCTTGAGAGAGGCTTAGGTCTTGGACTTTTCTTTCTTTCTTTCTTTCTTTCTTTCTTTCTTTTTTAAATTTAATTAATTATTTTACATCTCAACCACAGTTTCCCCTCCCTCTTCTCCTCCCATTCTCTTCTGCTGCCCCAATCCACTCCTCTGTTTCTGTTCAGAAATGGGCAAGACTCCCGTGGGTATCAACAAAGCATGGCATATGAAGTTGCAGTAAGATTAAGTACCTCCTTTTGTATTAAGGTTAATCAAGGCCATTTAGTATGAAGAATAGTTCTAAAAAACCAGCCAAAACATGGGGACTGCTCCTGCTAGGAATCCCACAAATAGACCAAGTTACACAACTCTCACAAATATGTAGAGGCTTATGTCTGTTGCAGATGGATAACTACCCCGGTTGTCATCAGAGAGCCTTCATTCAGTAACTGAAGGAAAGAGAAGCAGAAACCCATAACCAAACATTAGGCCAAGCTCAGGGAATCCTGCTGAAGAGAGGGAAGACGGATTGTAGGAGCTAGATGGGTCAAGAACATCACAAGAAAACCCAGAAAACAAATAACCTGGCTCATAGGTACTCACAGAGTCTGAATCAACAACCAGGGAGCCTGTAGTTTTCTTACCAAATAAACATCAGTGGGTAATAGGAAGTCTTTAGAATCCTCAAACTAAATTGTGGTTCTTGTTTTATATAGACAGCATACCCAACGAGACAGAAATTTGTGTTGTTTGGTTGTGTTAGTGAGTGTGTCTCTGGCAATGAAAAGTAGGTAAGTGGTGATACTGGACTATTAGAAAAATATTTGACTTGTTGGCAAAGTACATCAGTACAGAGAATAAAACTGAGTTTTATGCATGCATTTCATACACAGCTATTTAGGCAGTAAACCATAGTTGATTTCTGATCTAGTAGAATGACTTTCTAGAACAAATGTGGACACATTTGAACGCGTGCTCTATCTCCACAGAGCCTCATTTTCATATTGTGTAAACACAGAGCAGCAATTTAAACTTGATCTCTCATAACCTTTCCAAGGTCAACTGAGATTAAGGGACTCTTTATAAAATGTAACATGGTACATATATTAAAATATGTTTAATTTCTTTACATGTGCTATAAATTGATCTGTGCTATAAATTATATGCAACTTTTCATAATTATCCCATGCTAAAAGCATTAGGTTATCATTTAGGTAATATAGGTGAATTTTAGAGTAGTTGCAATTTCACATAGAATGGATAAACTTGATGATTTTAGTGGAAACCTTTTCCCATACCATGTTCCACAGGAGCTTTACAGTCTCCTTTAGGGGTGAAACACCACAGCGGTGGCTGTAGGGAAGTAGTAGTTGGTCAGCAAGCACATCCCTGTTTTGTGCAAAGCACACATTTGCATTTTATATACATACAGTGTCAGATCTATTCCCAAGCATTCCTAGTACATTGAGTAATTGAAAAAGCACTAGAGTTAGCCAAAGTAACTTGGTACGCTTTCTAATTTATGTTATGAATATATTATCTAAAATCCTTAGATTTTTGTTTCTTCAACTAGAAAACCTTTCAATGATATATTCTTTAATGTCTATCTACTATAGTGAGCTATGACTAAGTTAGTTTTAGACCTTACCTTTTAAAATTGATCATATGTAATTTTATGTGTAATTGCATAATGTTTCATAACAATATTTTAATCTCATACATGCATATGCATGATGAATAAATCATCAGACTTAAAGGCATTATTAACTGGGAATTTTAGTAACAAGCATTAACCCAAAGACTTGCACTCAGTTTTTCTAAAAGGCAAGACCATTTTTTTCCTACACAGCCTTACCTACACTTATGAGACCATAGAAGCACCTGTGTTGATAGCAAATAAGAACACTGAGAAGAGAGAGCATGACAAGCAGAGAACAGAAAATGCACCTCCTCCCAGTTTTGCCATCACTAATTTCTAGCTCTGTGTGGAGGCAGGAAATGGTGTGGGAAGATCAGCCTAATATAGAAAATACTATAAATGATGCTTATCAATAATTTTCCAGAATATGTTATTAATCAATATTTTTCTTTTGTTTTCAAGACTCCCTTAGAAAATGTTCCAGGTAATCTTTCTCCTATCAAGGATCCCGACAGACTTCTTCAGGACGTTGATATCAATCGCCTTCGTGCTGTCGTATTTCGAGATGTGGTAAGTTTTAAATCTGCTTGACTTCCTTGCAAAAACAAGCAAAAACCAAACCATAACAACCAACTTGCATGGTCATTTGTTGTTAATCAGTGTAAAATTTGTAAAGAGTTGCTATTGCTACCAACGGTCTTGTTGTCTGGATATATTGCATTTTTCTGACAGTAAAATAGTTGGACCTTATTTTTTTCCAAAAGCTTATTGATAGTTTACTTTTGAAAAATGGTATGGATGTAGCGGCGTAAACGAATGCAGACAGATTGTAAAAACATATATAGTTTTAATGTAGAAATAGACTTACAGAACCACCGTTCCCGCGGAGACCAGGAAAGCAGAAGAGACGGCTGGGAGCATGCTCGCCAAATTTATAGGCAGACATTAGCCCGAGGCGAACACGCCCCCCAAGGGGCGGGACTTATCCCTACATCTGGATGCATACCGAGCTGGGAAAATAGCTCACTGGGTAAAGTTCCTGCTGCAGAAACATGAGGACCTGAATTCAGATCCTCTGGGCCTATATAGAATCTAGGCATGGTGCTGCACTTCTGTAACACTATTGCTGGAAGTGCAGGTGAGGTTTCTCAGATTCAGTGAGAACCTCTGCCTCAAAAAATACAGAATGATAGAAGACACTCAATGTCTTCACATGCGCACTCAAAGGTAAGCAGACACACACGTCTGTATATACTATTGCTTACACAAATGATAAGAAATTTTGAGATTTATTTTATATTCCAAGATTAGAGATAGCCTTATGTTTGACTTTCTCTTAGGTCATCTGGTCCTGCCTTTATATTCTTTACTCCATTTCCATATAATGAATATTTCATTATTCTCAATATTCCTTTAAGTAGACATAAAAAGTTACTGTATCAGGCATTAATGTAAGTTGCCTTTGGGAATGGGAAGATATTTTCTTTAATTTAAAAATTATTTATTATTGTAAATATATGTGCTCATGATGCATTTGAAGGGATTTATCAATATCACAGAGTATATGTGGAGGTTTTAGGACAACTTTGTGGAGCCCATTCTTCTCCCTTTTTGAGGAGTTTCAAGGATTATACCCAGATTTCCAGGCTAAGCAGTAAAAGCTTTTACCATTGAACCCTCTCACTGGCCCCTACTTTCACAAATGATGGCATCTGCAGGAATCTGAATTAGAGAAGGCTTAATAACATTCAAAGAAAAATAACGTAAGGAAGGGTTAATGAACTCTCTACTCCGTGACTGCTTACTCAAGGCAACTAAAAGTAAGATTGACCTTTTCATGAATTTCATGTAGAAATACAGTGTTTCACAGCAGATTAAGCAATAATACCAGTCTTAAATACAGGCATTATTAGCCAGCCAGATTAGATCCTGTTGTTTTAATTATGGTTAATGATTCAAGGAATATTTAAAGACGTCTATGTTTGAAATGTATATATAATAATCAGTTAAATAGAGTGCTTTGTTGTTTACAATGTCATTGAGACTAAGCCATGTGGCATGATGTTTCATGCTGTGGATATATGATAGAAAAATGTTGATTCTTATCAATCATTTGGAAAATGAACAGCCTAAAAGATAAATAGGAAAACATAACACATGTAAGCAATAAATGCAAAATATATAATGTAATTCAACAGTGTGATTAAAGTATCATCAGTAGACAACAGAATGAAAATTAAGATGAAATATTTTCAGTATTAAATGAACTAACAACTTAAATGATAATGCTTAGCACTGGAAGAGTAGAGGAATCAGGCTCTTTTATGTAATCATTACTATATAAGGATAAATTGGACAACCTTTTGTGTAGTTCTGCACTAATACATTAGGGAAAAGAAAAAACTCTTTCCAGTACACTAGCAACTATAACTTGAAGTTATGCAACAGTATGCTTTAGCAATAAGGATCAGGCAGGTCTGCATGTGATTGACAACACACATGTGTAGAGTCAGAGTGTCCTTTTCAATCACTGTACTTCTTGATTGTAAATGTATCTCTCACATATAATAATCTGGGGTCTTGGAAGTGTTTTTGCAGTTGTTAGTATGTTAGTTGATTGTATTTGTAAATGCTAAGAATTTTACTTTACTTTCAATGTTTTTATAAAACAACAGTCACATTTTGTTTCTTTAGTTTCTGAAATATATAAGACCTCAGATTAGGTTTTAGGAAATCTATATATGCACATTACCTTTCTGTGTGTGTGTGTGTGTGTGAGAGAGAGAGAGAGAGAGAGAGAGAGAGAGAGAGAGAGGGAGGGAGGGAGGGAGGGAGAGAGAGAGAGAGAGAGGGAGAGAAAGACTATGTGTGTGTTTTCAGAGGACAAATAATTGAGTATTTGGCAGCAATTTCAAGGCAGGAGCTTTTGTGCTTTCCCCAGAATTACCCAGCTGTTTTGCTTTTCATAAAGTCGTTTTTAGTATTATAGACTAAATATGTGTATATTCAGATTTAAATTTAGAGATTGTGATTATTGTGTTCCTAAGGAGTTCTGAGGGTGTGTGGGGCAGAGAAAGAAAGTATATATTACCTGTATAGAAGGAGAAGAATTTGCTATGTAAAATGAAAACATTGCTTAAAAACAATCCGGTCAGTTAGATGACTCAGCAGCTTGTAGAGGTGCTTGCTTGCAGTCCTACATTTAGATGCAAAGACAGCTCTTTACATGCCAGTTAGGAAGAAAATGTTTTAACTTGGCTACCACTGTAGTTCATAGTGGTGCTTCTACCATATCTTGTTTTCATTTATTCTGCATTTATTTATTAAATGTTCTCCAGTTGCGTGGAGCAGAATTTCCTGTGGTAGAACAGAAGCATTGTGGGAAATAGGGTCTATTACAGCTTGGGCTGTGTGTGACTTTATGCTTGGCTGGAGTCTTTTGTTAGTTGAATTGTGCTTTATTTGTAATAACTGTTTTTTTTTTGAAAAATTCAGGACAGTAATTTTTTTATCTGCATGTTTTATAAGAAATTCATAGATTAAAATGGTAAGAGAAAGGGTGATGTTTTGTAGCGCATTGAACAAAATCTTATTATGTTACCTTTTAAAATTCTTTTAACATATAACTCAGATGAAGCATTTTAGACGTTTTGTGTGTATCTTTTTATTTTTGAGAGAGCTATTTATTACAATAGTGTTCTGTATGCATGTGTGCCTGCAGGCCAGAAGAGGGCGCCTGATCTCATTACAGATGCTTGTGAGCCACCATGTGGTTGCTGAGAATTGAACTCAGGACCTCTGGAAGAGCAGCTAGTGCTCCTAACTACTTAGCTGTTTCTCCAGCCCCTTGTGTGTATCTTTAACATGGTACTTAGTAAGCAATTCAGTTATCAACTCTTAATTTTCTTTCAATTTATATTTATATTTGTGTGTGTGTTCCACACAACATCTTCACACATGCTCCCTTGCCATAGTGCATGGGCAAAGGTCAGAGGACCATGTCTTCTGTTACCATCTGGATGCCTAGGACCAAATGCAGGTGTCTTTACCCACTAAACCATCTTGCCTGGCTCCAAAGGGTCATTTTATTTTTATTGGTGATATAAATGTGTCCCTGTTGGCCCAAAGAAGCCAGAGAGCATGTCAGATGATCAGAAGATGGAATTTTAGATCATTTTGACCCACCAGAAGTGGGTAATTGACACTGGCTCTGGTCCTCTGTAAAAGGAGCAAATGTTTTAACTACTGGGCTGTTCCTCTACCTGTCTTCCCAGCACCTGTTAAATCAAAGCTTAAAGTCTAATAACAAAAATAGTTTTTTATAGTGTGTGGATTTATATCTTAAAATTTTTGAGTGTCAAACTATCTTTTCATTTTACACAGGATGATAGCAAGCAGGCACAGTTCTTAGCTCTGGCCGTTGTTTACTTCATCTCTGTTCTGATGGTGTCTAAGTATCGGGACATATTAGAGCCCCAGAGAGAGACCGCGAGAACTGGAAGCCAACCAGGTAGAAACATCAGACAAGAAATAAATTCGCCAACAAGTACAGGTACTTAGTATTTAGTTTCCATTACTTGTCATTTCACTAGTATTTATCTCTTTCCTGCTCTCTCACTAGCATTTCTGCATGCATGTTTGAATTGTACTTACTCATAGACACTTCAGACACTTACAGAATTGGTGGAGATGCTGATTCAGTATTTGTAGATTGACACAAATATACTGGATATGTCTGTATATATTTGCTATCATTCTCATGTGTCAGTGCAATTTTGTGGTTACTATTTCCCATTTGTGAATACAAATCATTTGGTTATGCTATTATTTACCATGCAGTGGACTCATGCTTTTCAACACATTTATTGTGAAACTTTTATAAGCATGAAAATAGGAGGTCCTCATATAGATTCTTTACAGCCTAATTAAAAAATTCCTTCCCTCCCTTCTTTGCTCTCTCCCCTCCTCTTTTTGCTACTAAGTGAACACTTAATCCAACATCTAAATATTACATCAATTATGTAATAGCAAACAAAGATTTTGAATTTTGTACAAGTTGGAAAAAGTTTATACAAAGTAGTTGTAACTAAAAGAGTTATGGAGAAGTAACATCAGAGACAACAGTGAGCCACCTTGGGTTATACTGGTCTCATTTGCAGGACACTTACCTTGCAGGAGCTGTTGCACTATTGGCTGCCACTGCTCTAAAGGCAGTGGTGTCTGGGAAAATGGAGCCATGATGAATGAGGCAGAATAAAGTCTCATGCGATAGCCAATTTATACTCTAAGAATTAAGAGAAGATCACATGAGTAAAGTTCTCATGAGTTCAAGCTGTGCACAATCACAAGGATAAGCTGCACATGGCAAAATCATGTTTTCCCATCGGGGCATATAAAAGATAGTTTAAACATTTGATTGAATAACAGCAGCAAGCAATGATGAGTAATCAGAAGTAAACGCACTCCTCTCTGCAATACTTGGGAGGAGCTCGAAAACACATTCCAAGAACAAGTCAGTGTTTTGAAGAAACTGAGGGGAAAAGACTCTTGTTTTCTCGGAGTGTTCTCACAAACACTCAGAATTCTCCTCACATAAATCCATTCTTAGGCCATGATCCAGTAATTGATTTGGCTTACTGTACTTGAGAACTATAAATATGTTTTGTGGCAACTAATCATTTGTATTTCCTACCAAGTGTTTACATCAAGATATTTTCCTGTTGTTTGTACTATAATCTTGATAACTCAATGGCCAATTTTTTTGTTTTGTTTTGTTTTTGTTTTTCGAGACAGGGTTTCTCTGTGGCTTTGGAGCCTGTCCTGGAACTAGCTTTGTAGACCAGGCTGGTCTCAAACTCCCAGAGATCCGCCTGCCTCTACCTCCGGAGTGCTGGGATTGAAGGCATGCGCCGCCATCGCCCGGCTCAATGGCTATTTCTTGTGAACCATATATAGCTTTTGCTCTTCCATTCCGTTATATTTCTTGGATTAACATCTTCAAATTGCAGGTGATTAATATACTATGTTAATATTCATTGTTCTGGCATACACCAAATATTAACAGTCATACCACAATAGTGTAGTTAAATTAGTCTAAAATGTAGCATACTGTAGGTATGCTACTGGATTAATTTATACATGGGATTCTTTACTAAGTCAACACATTTGCTTTTTAAATGGATGTAATAAAAGTGAGTAGATACTTATGGTCAAACCACTATATCTCGTTAAGGGAAATAACCTCATTTGCTCTTTCTTGCTATTGTAGAGATAAAGGATCACATTTTAGCCAGGATTTTCTTGTTGCAGGTCATACCATTTCATTATTACACTATTACTTTAATTTTATTATGCAAATTAAACATCAATTTACCATTCAAACTGATGTCCTATTAAAGCATGAAGACTTTACTGTATGTGTCCTATATGTATAAAATTAGCACTATTATAGTGAATCTTCTAAGTCTAGTTTTCTGGTCTGTGTGTATGTTTTATGTATGTTGGTAATCGTACTCTACTCGGTGAGTGTATCACCTACTTCCTTTCTCTTAAAGTTCCTTTTCCCACTCTCAGAGATGTGTTCTTTAGTATTGTGTGCCTATTACAGTAATATAGAAATGTCATGAGTCTTTGGTGTGGACTATATTACTGTCATTTTCCTCCTCAAATATGGCTCCATGATTTTCTCCACAGTTGTGGTCATACCATCTATCCCTCATCCAAGTTTGAATCATGGACTCCTTGCCAAGCTAATGCCTGAGCAGAGTTTTCCCCACTCATTTTACAAAGGTAATACTGACAATGTCTCACTGCTCATTTGGTATTTTTGTTTCATGAGTTGTTTTAAAATAAATATTCATGGTATAATATAAATATATAAAGAAGGTGTGTTTTATTTCTATAATGTTGCTACTGAGAACCAGGTATAGCTTTTGTTCTTGCATTCCATTATATTTTTGGTTAACATCTTCAAATGAAGAGTACTTAATGTATTATATTAATATTCACTATGCTAATGTACACTAGGTGTTAACAGCCATACCACAGTAGTGTATTTAAGTTAGGCTAAATTGTAGCAACCTGCAGATTAACTAGTAAAAACAAAAGATTGAAAGTAACTCTGGACAAACTGGCCTATGAATTATTTGACATCTAGTCAGAACATAGTCTTAATACTCTTTAAAGGAATGCAAAAATGTCTTGCATAAAAAAGTGCATGAAATTAAATGTTAAACATCCAATAATCCATTAATAAGCATGTTAAGATACTGGAAAATGCAAGCATAAGCAGAAAAAAATCATTGAACAGAAATAGATTTGTAAGCAACAATAAATGGTACAAATGAAGACATTAAAACACAGTAATTATAAGTGTATTTAAAGCTTGCTTCAAGTAATGGAAATGTGAACACAATGAGGAGAGAATGAGCCCACATAAAGAAAAATAATGAAAAAATGTTAGAGATGAAAAATACAGCAGCCAAAGTGATGATATTTCTGGGTCTTATTAACAAAACATTTGTTGCTGCAGAACAAGAGTTTTGTCAGGCAGAGCTCTCCCTCTAGTGGTCCCAAGATTTTCCTGGTGTGCCCACCTTGTACAACTCATGGTGTGTTGAACATGCTGGGTTTTCCTCCTGTTCCACTGTTAGTCACATTAATATGTAAGAGTGGTAATCCAGGTTGCAAAAGAGGAATTCAGAGACACACTGTGAATTGTGAGCAAGCCCCTGACAGCAACTTCGGAGCGAAGAGCACTGCTCAGCTAAACTCCAGCAAGAAAAATGGGAACTTGAACCCTGACCTTAGGAGGCAGTGATTTCTGCTGACAGTTGGACTGAGTTTTGAGGACACTGAGCCCCAGATGAAACCATAGTTGGAAATATCCCATACCTAACTAATAATGTCCTAGGATAACTTCAGAACAAGCAGTGCTAACAAAGTATTTTTATCACACCTGGATGAGTTCTTATATTTTTGAGGGTTGGGGGTAATGGCTTTTTAACACTATGAGAAATGAAAATTTCTTTGTGAAAATTAATAACATAAACATTGTATGTGGTTTGTCTTGTGAAGAAATATATTCCCGAGTGACTGAAAATCATGTAGAGTAATTGCCAAGATTTACGGAGTGTACTTTGGAATGTCCATGCTCATTGAGAAATTTTCACATCTGCAACAATTTAGCTTTCTGGAATACTTTGTAATGATAATAAAAAATAATTACTTTTAGGTTAATGTTGTAAACTACCAGTCTTTATTACTGACAAGATCAAAAATGATCTTAACTACTGTTGTTTGCAATAATGCCCTGGTTATTCAAGTGAAAATTCCTGTTGGTGACAACAGAACCTGCAAGTAAACACTTAGTTTTTCTGCAGAATAGGAAACCAGTGTGGTTTTACTTTTTGGAGATGAAGAGGACTGGCTTTTTGGTGAAGTTCTAAAACATTTTCATAAACCGTGTGTTTCCAAGTGGAGAATGTCACTATTTTCACATGTAGCTAGGATCAAAGAACAACATGAACGCTAGAATGTAGTTGGGCCTATGGATGCACACCTTTAAACCTAGCACTTGGGAGATAGAAGCAGATGTCTCTGATAGTTTTTTCTGCTCTGCGAGTGCTTACATACATGTGTTGGACCATATATTTTACTCAGAAAGATACACTCATAAAACAATGGATACATAAATCTTTTTTTAAAAAAATGTATTTCTTTTGCCATACTGTTCTTTGTTTCAACCATTTTCTTTGACTGTGCTGTACTAAAAGGAAGTTACAAATATAATTGCAGCAGCCCTTCCCTCACTGCCGTCCTCTTGAACATAGTGTCTGCTTACTTCCTTCCTTCTGCTTATGGTTTATTAGAATGTGTATTCCAGAGGGTGATCTGACTGATTTGTTTGATTTCTTATTATGTAGAGTGTGCTGTTTTAAGATTTATATCCAGTGTAGAATGATTGCATCATACTTCTCAGATACCACTCACTTGATAGGTGGGTCATATTTGTGTGATAAACATTAGAACTGATTGGATATTTAAAACACATTTTCATAAATTTTATGACAGCAGTATCTCACTATTAATTGTAGTTATCATATTGTAAAGCATATCTACACAATTCTATAATTGTGTCCCCTTTGACTAACATCTTCCTTGTCTCTGGTAATAATTCCATTCAGTACCCAGTGAATTGTCTTTTTCTAAATTGCACGTAGGATTGAGAACATGTGGTATTCATCCATTCACATCTGCTTTCATAAGCTCATTTTTGACAGTGCCCTTGACTTTGTCTACTCTGTCACAAGTAATGGATTTTATTGGTGTTTTGTGGTTGAATGATATTCCATCGTGTCTATGTACCTCATCTTTTCTGTGAGGTACATATACACAGTCCTCTGTTTACTTCACATCTTGAACATTGTGAAGAGCATTGTATATCTTTTTGAATTACTGATTTCCATTGCTTTGTACATATAAAACCTAGACATAATTGCTGGTGACTTTGGTGGTCCTACTTTATCTTTTTTTATTTAGAAGTACCTCGCTACTATTTTCTACAATGCCTAGACTACTTCACATTGCCAGCAACAGTGTGGAGTTTCTTTCTCTGTGATGTCATGCTTCATCATTTTGATTATACCGTTCCATCTAGCTAGGTGATAGCTCATTGTGGTTTTAGTTGTTGTTTCTAGTTGATTATGATATGAATTTTGTCATGAACAACTTTTCATTGTTTTAATTTCTAAATATATCTTTTCAGATTCTATGACCATGTTAGAAGTTATTTGTTTTTATTATGTTATTGTTATAGAGTTCTTTTAGTTGCGTCTATTTTGAATTTTTCTCTTTCTGTTGGTTGTTTATTCTCTCTTACTTTGATTATTTGCTTGTTTGTTTGTTTGTTTATTGCTATTCAGAAGATATTTTCTACTCTGTCTGCCACTTCTATTGTTGCCCATGTTTCTGCTCATTTTTAAAAATATCATGTTCTGACTTTGTGGGAGCCTAGCCAGTTTGGATGTTCACCTTCCTAGACATGGACGGAAGGGGGAGGGAGGACCTTGGACTTTCCACAGGGCAGGGAATCCTGACTGCTCTTTGGACTGGAGAGGGAGGGGAAGAGGAGTGGGTGGAGGGGGAGAAGGGCGGGAGGAGGGGGAGGGAAATGGGAGGCTGGGAGGAGGTGGAAACTTTTTTTTTCTCAATAAAAAATTAAAAAAATAAATAAATAAAAATATCTTTAAAAAGAAAAAGTATGTCAACAGTTGCTTTCCATTTTCTTCTAGTGGTTTTAGTTGCAGGTTTTAAACCTTTAATCTATTTTAAATTGAGTTTTGTAAGTGAAATAAGGACTTGATTAATTCTTCTACATATGGAAAAAATTTTCCTTTCTTCATTCTCTATTTTTGATGTTTTGTTAAACATCTGTTGGCTACAAATGTGCAAACTTAAATTTGTGATATTGATACTAATGCATTCATTTATTTCAGTTTTCATATCAGTACAATTTTGTTTCCATAGCTTTGATGACACGATTGGTAGTATCGTCTAGCTTCTTATAAACCATTTTTTTCAATTTCTGATAAGAAACAATGGTATTTTGATGTGAATTTTACTTGATTTATAGATGAGCTTGACTATTGTACATATATTTTAGCAACACTAATCTTATAATATATGCATATAAAATATCTTTTGTGTTGTCTTTAGATTTTATTATTTGTATTTTATCATTTCCTTGTATAAATTCTTCACCACCTTTCACTAATGTATTCATTAGTTTGTTTTCATGGTTAAATAAGATTGCTCTCCAGTTACTTTTTCCAGATAGTGTATTCTTAGAAATGATGCCGATTTTTGTGTCTCATTTTGATTTTTCTATCCCATGACTTTATTACTTCATTTATTATTGCTGGCAGGGGTGTGTGTGTGTGTGTGTGTGTGTGTGTGTGTGTGTGTGTGTGTGTGATCTTACAGAGTTTTCTGTGTAGAAAAACTTGCCACCTGCAGAAATGACTTTTTCCAGTTTATATGCTTATGTTTCATTTTTCTTGCCTAATTGCTCCAACTCAGAGTGGTAGTGATATGTCAAATCAAAGCTATCTTTCTTTACAGATGCAAGGCATCTCCCATGTCTTGCATGTGAAAGTGAGTGCAGGAAATAGTTCTTTAATAAATTAGTAAGCTAGTGAGAAAATTAAGTAGTATTTTGTAAAGGTGAGTATTGATGTTATCCTGCTAATAAGCCTGCCCAAACAAAAATCTTAGTTGGTAATGTGTCCTATAAGATGATAAAGCTAAATGTTAACATTATTAATAACCTAATAAGTTCAGATAAGTGTAACAAATGTTTCATGTTAGTTTTTCTATAATTTTTGATCAGTGTAAATAAATAACACAGGAAACAAGTGAGATAATGAACTGTTATAAGAAAAGACAGATGCAACATAGACTAAATCCATATGCTAGTACATGAGCATCTATATAGTTTAACTATTAGTTTGCTAGTCAAATGGGGGAATTATTTCTTGGCATAGGAATGTGTAGTACAGCTTTAAAAAGGAAACTATATTGTCCTTTTTTTGGTTTTGTGTTTTATTTCTTTTGAGGGAGAATCTTGCTGTATAGCCAGGAAACTCTACTTCGTCAACCCTTCATTATGTATGTGTTAAAGTTTTAACGGTGACAGTCAAACTGTGACTGTGATGTGTTCGCCATTCTAGTTGTTGGTGTGAACCTGGGAGAGCAGGGTCTAAAATGAGGAGGACTAAAATCTCATGCAG